ACATCTGATATATGCAAACTTATTGGTATGGTACCGACCTTACTGCATCTTTTGACATACATGTCTCTCATAAGACTAGGTCGTCTAATTTTCCGACAGTATTATTCAGTCTGTTTTTTTCATATTCACACCTTCTTTAGATATTAACATGGTGATTCTCTTACAGCATTGTCTGATGTGGTTTATTTAAAAAGCCGTACTATTTATACTGGTACTTGTACTGTAGGAGCGCAAAGTTAAGGGATACACACTCAAAAGGAAGGCGCCAATGATTTTGAAATGACTATTGGCTCTACCAAGGGCAATTTCAGGACGATAACTCAACCGCAAACCTAAATCTTTCCCTAACCTAGTGGTGAATGCTGGCTGCGAACAAGCCAAAATTGTAGACAGCTATTTAACAGGAATGTTACATCCAGAATCGGGTCATGAGAAAAACAATAACAAGGCTTAACTTTGAGGAACTCATCAGCCAATCACGGCAGACTTAACGTGTGCAAATAGGATTCGCAGATATGTGGCATAACTTTCTGAGAAACTATCAAAAGCAGTACAGAATAACCTTGAGCAAGAAAACAACCAACTGCTTATCCGCTGACAATAATGTATATGAAAATCTATAAATATCTCTTGATTTTCTCAATAAATGATCTTTTGCCTGGCCCTTGACTTCTGTTGTTACGACCTAACCTCGAACTAACTATATGTCCTGTGTAGTGTTCTTACACTCCTTGGGTCATATTTTTACGAATATAGCATTTCAAGGTTTCAGTTAATGAAATATCCCCATCTTGAAATCACAACAAGATTTTGAGCGAACAATTGTTTTCGATAACTTCTTCTTCAGGCTCTACAGTTATAAATCCATGAATAATAGAGTACATATAGCCAATAAAGGCAAATGAAAATAATATCAGAAACTGTATTGGGGGTGCATGTGTAAGTTGAGATGATAGTCCATTAGTTAACATAATCAACCAAATGTGTATAGGGTGTATAGTCAGAAAAATGTGATGAAGTGTGAATGAACAATTTGGTGATACAGTGCTGTTTTATAGTCAACAGAATACAAGTGTCATTGGGGTGAGAGAAATGCAATAAACGCAAAATACATACAAATACACATTAACAAAGCTGGCACTGAATGTGAGGGCTGACCGATAATGTCTTATGATAAAATAAAGAGGCTAAATTGTAATAAGATGTTACTGAATTGGTGGGCTTAGTATAAAATCACAAAGGTTGACAAAATTGAGGGTAACAATGAGGTGAAATAAACTGGGTGGAGAAATGGATAATAAAGACAAGATATCACAAAATGATAATAATGGTAATAATAATACGGAAAATTATGATCCTGGTGACCTTATAGTGGGCCATTTCAAGGTTGTCAGTACATTCGTTCGCCTGCTTCACTATTCTGTAACTTGTTTGGACACGATATGATAAATGCAGAAGTCATGGCATAGATGAATAAGACTGGGTCAACAAGATAATTTTCTTATGAAAATTTCCCACTTCTGACAAGAATGCACTTCCTGCTATTATACATGAGAAAAGGTTAAAGAGAAAATTAGTTGCCATGTATAATTTTGTAAATGATGGTTAACTTTTTATATAACTCTATTTCTTTTATATATTACGGAACTTCAGGCATTGTCTTTATGTCTTGGAGGCGCTCCAGCAGGTCCAGCTGGAACGGGAAAAACAGAAACAGTGAAAGATTTAGCCAAAGCTTTGGGCTATTTATGCGTTGTTACAAATTGTGGAGAAAATATGGACTACAAGGTAATTCACAACGAGTGTTCTCCTTTTTTATTTTTATTCCCTTGGGTCGGTCTTATTATTATTTTCCTTTGATTGTTGATCATTTGGATCAGATCCCAGTGGCTCATCTTGTATCCACAAGGTATTATTATTATTTCCTCTAATTCCTAGAGGAACATAGGGCTTCAGCCTGACGTCTCTATTGCTTTCGGTTCTCTGCTACAGTCTTCACCTGGCTCTATGTCTGCCCACACACTTTCATCTCCTCTTCACATGACCTCCTCCAAATCACACTTGCACTGACGACCAACTCGCCGCTTCCCTTTCGGGTTCCACTCGAGCAATGGCGTGTCTAGTGATGTCACTTGATGGTTTCCTCAGAGTATGACCAGCCAATCCATCTCCACTTCTTCCTGCCTATTTGTTTCACAATCGGTTCCTGTTTGGTTCGCTCACTGCCAGAGATCTCTGTTGCTGATCTTTTCTGGTCAGCCATCTGATCTTGAGTATTGAGCGAAGACAACTGTAAATGAAGGTCTGTAGTTTGTTTGAGATGCTCTTTATGAAGCGCTGGCCAAGTCTCTAATCCGTATAGTAGCCCTGACTTCACATTTGAGTTGAAAATCCGGATCTCATTTTTGACGCTAAGTACTGTTAACCTCCACACAGACTTGAGAGGAGTGAAAGCTTGTCTTGCTTTCCCGATTCTTGCTTTGATATCCCCGTCAGTTCCACCTGTAGTCGAAACGATGCTTCCCAGGTAGGTAGGTAAAAGAGGTTGTTTCTTTCAGATTCCTCCCGTTTATGCTGATCGTTGTCTGTTGTTGTTGTTCTTGTCCAGGAATCTTCATCACCTCTGTCTTCTCCATGTTCACCTGAAGTCCTATCTTCTCTGGATGCTTCTTCTGCCAACTTGTTGCTTTCCGCTTGCATATCTTCCAGTTTGTGGGAAATCAGACATATATCATTGGCGAAGTCCAGATCCTCCAAGTCTTAGCAGTCCTCTTTAGCTAGTTTAACGATTGTCTGTAGGCTGTTTTTTCTTCTTCTTCTTCACATGATCTCCTCCATGTCAATCTCGAACCCAACGCCAACTCAGGCTTCTTATTCGGGATTCACTCGACCACCTGTTTGGTGTCTAACGTCACTCAGAGGTTTTCTCAGCGTTTGTCTAATCCATCTCCATGTCAATCTTCAAATTTATTGGTCGATAGCTTCTTGGTTGGTTCATTTTCAGAGTTTCTTGATGTTTATTCTTTCCGGCCGGCAATCTGTCCTTCAGAATGGAGGGGAGGCAGTTGTCGATGAAAGTCTGAAACCTGTAGGAAATGCTTTTTCTTAACTTGTCAAGTCTTTGGACTATAGAGGATTTGATATTGTATTGAAGATCCAGAAGTTGTTCCTTATGGTGGATGCAGCAGATTTCCGCAGGGACTTCAGAGTAATGAAGACTTCTTCGGCCCTCACTGGCTAGCTTTGATATTCTCATCTGTGCGGCCTTTAGTTGAAACGATGCTGCCTACATAAGTGAAAGAGGTGACTTTGAGTTGAATATGTGGACAGGTTAGTGACCTTATACGCTGTGGCTAAGAACAGCAATCAAATAACAGTGAATACCTTTATTCTTTTATTTGGTCACCCATGGTAAATTTCATGCTTACTGCTGAAATTAACATACCTTTATTTGTCGCTAAAAAGCTCTATAGCCAACGAACTTAACGAAAACTATAAACTAAGAAGAACTTATCATAGCATATATCGCCGTTCTTAATATCGAGATCATTTGACATAGATATTTGTGTTAGTCTAAGATCATTCAGACACTTACTGAATAATATGATATAACCGAGTCGGCGGAGGTGTAGCTAAAAGGACACTGACCACAGTGAGGCACTTTAAGTGAACACAACTACTCGCCCACAACGGCCGTTTACTTCGTTGAGTCATGAAGATATCAGAAAATGAATACTTGCTGACAGACCGTTATTCACTGTTGTCAATTATTGGCTTACAGGGATATGATTGGTTTCAAGTTAGAACCACGGAGTAGTGGACAGCTGTATCTTCCTAGTCTGGAACTCTTCAGCAGTACGCACCAATGACCGTACCGAGGATCGAACTCAGGACCTTCACGTCACGAGATCAGCCCATTGATCATTCAGTCACTAGGATGGAATCTAATTGCCCATGAATTGTAACCTCCAGTTGATGTCATTGACGAGTATTTATCCATAATGCTTTGACTGTTAATACACTTCGTAGTTTGTGCTAACGAACTTCCTACCTAGTCGATTCGCGAGCCTACTGTTCGAAACACTAATAGCAACAACAACAACAACACAATACGACACCAACGAACCTGAAATGCAAGAAGACAAGAAGAGAAGTCAGACAGCTGACGCATAGAACTTTCGCTGTCTCAAATCAACAGGGAAAAAGGTTGACAGTAGCTGAGTATATATATGCTTTGAATGGCCTTGAGAAACAATAATTATATTGATAATTCAAGACAGTTAACAACCAGTAAGGTTCTAAGGTCATAGTGTAATAACAGAAGACATGGGCCGGGCAACAGATCGTTTATTTAGGAAATCAACACATACTTATATATTTTCATGTACATTATTATAGATTATTGTAAGCAAACAAACACAGTCTTCTGATTGGTGGCTTCTCGCTGAACGTTAATCTTTCATCTCTTTGTGGCCGTTTCTTGAAGTTCAGATTATGTATCTGAAAACTGAATCCGCCTACGCAAAGTCTGCTGTGATTGCCTGTTGAGTCAGTCTTTGTTCTTATTTTTCTCATGACCAATATTGGGGACGTAAACATTGACGTCAATTGCTGTCTACCAATTTTGGCTAGCAGTCAGCCCTCACCACAGTAGGTGTGGAGGGGGGGGGAAATACAAATGGATAAATGTCGTATTTCAGAAGAATTAGGTCCATATAACATTTACACTCGGTATGGTGGACCATACTGGCCCCTACCTCTCACTCGCTGAAGAGTCTTCGATTAGGACGAAGCGGCCATTCAATGCTGTTTGGTTTTCAATGGTTCACCAACCCCCTAAACTAAGTGTACAACAAGAATGAATGCCAACTAATGAAATTTGTTGGTAACAGTTGATGACGATTGTTAGCTAGACTTAATTTCCTTATATACTAAAATCATTTTACTGTACCCATTCACCTTTCAGTTGTTTTCTAATTGTTTTTCTTTTAACATTTCAGTCGTTTGCAAGACTACTTTCAGGCTTATGTCGTTCTGGTGCTTGGGGTTGTTTTGATGAATTCAACAGAATTCATATATCTGTTCTATCAGTTGTTTCTAGTCAAATTAAATCAATTCAGAATGCTTTAACAGCAAAAGTGTCAACATTTCAAGTAGGTTTCAGTGGAAATTGTTTCGTATTTATTTTCTCTCACAAAAATAAGTTTTGTTATTCAAATCGTATTGTGTTTAAACTAGTTTTTAGGCTTGTAATTTATTTTTTCCTGAATATGTTTATTATTATTACTGTTCCCTTGGGTTCCTAGTGGAACATAGGGCTTCAACTGCACATCTCCACTTGCTTCTGTCTTCTAATGTACTTTCCACTTGAATCCATGTTAATCTATATTGTTTCAACTCCTGTTCACACGATCTCCTCCATGTCACCCTTGGACGTCCCACTCGTCGCTTCCCTTTCGGGTTCCACTCGAGCTATGGCCTGACGCGCGATGTCACCCAGCGGCCTCCTCAGCTCAGCGAGTGTCCAATCCATCTCCACTTTCTCCTGCATATTTGTTGAGCGATTGGTTCTTGTTGGTGGAGAAACTATATAAAGCGAAGACAGCTGTTTTGTTTGTTCCCATAGTTTCTTGTTGGTGATTCTTTCCGGCCATCTGATTTTGAGTATAGAACGAAGACAGTTGTTGATAAAGGTCTGCAACCTGTTGGAAATATGTTTACAGGCTAAAAATTAGGGTGTGAAAATCAGCTGCACTCAGTGCTCTAAACAGATAGCCTTCTAGAAATGAAATAGAGGAGATATATCGTTGTGGTTATCGTTAAAGATGATGTATAGAAGGACATTTCTAAGCTTCAGAATTAAACCATCCAACTGATAAAACATAACAAAACCAAATCAAAAAGTATCACGGCAAGTTTGCGAATTGTACATGTAATGAGAAAGTAAAACATTTAGACTGAATAAAGTAACCAGCAAGAGTGCCTTAAAGATTGATAAACGTTTATTATCACTGAATGGTGAACTGTGTACTTTGAAGTTTTCATAGTGATAAGGTTGTCTTGTATCTCATAAAGTCGAAGATGTGTAAGTGAAAACCAAGAATTTGTCTAAAGAAGAAGAAGTGAAAATCGGGAGGACTTTAGGTGGATATAGGTAAGCGAGGAGTAACAAAGATGCCCAGCCAGCGACAGCAAACAAACCAACAGGCGAAATCTCAGCGAAGTCGTTTCCGTCACTTACCTGATCTTGGTCACATCGTTTTAACTACAGATAGCACAGATCAGGATTTCAAAGTCAGTCGGTACTGGATTGGAAAATCAAGTGTAGAACTTGGGCACTGTGGTAGAATGTAATTTCATATTAGATAAGTTTATTTTAAATATCACACAGAGATGCAGTATTAACAACTGGATGACGCAGTTTCAAGTATAAATTATTGCTCATAATCATATCAGTTTAGTCACACGGTTTCACAATTTGTCTTAGATGTATATTTTCTCTCATTCTGTCTCTCCAACTTCCCTTTGTTGTTTTTTGCCATTTTCCATATCTCCCGTATACTCACCCTGTTCCACCCTATTTTGTGATTACACGCAGGTGAATGCAATGGATGAACTTTTTTCTAAGTTACTTAACTCAACAAGGTCAATTATTCTAGGTCTAGCTAAATTTTTATCTTCCAATAATCTAGTTCACTGACCCTGATCTACTAGTTTGACTGACCTATGTAATTGACCTCATAGTCAGCATTACATGGTATTTAGTAAATTATATTATTTTTCTTAATAGGATCTATTAGGTCCTTAAGCCGATGAAGTTTATCTCTGAGGGGGTTGGTTGGTTTAAATGCCAACGTGACTAATTCCAGACTCATTAAGAATCCTACATAAGGCCTCTGACGCTCCTTCGGTATACGGCAGTAGTACAGAGGCTTTGAATTCTTTATTACTTTCGTCATTTTTATTGCTAATCTCGTTTTTTCTATGGTTCTTCATACATTTTTGAATAAATTCTGGTGGGTAGTGATTATTCACTAGTAATATTTTCTATATTTGTTTGATTTCGTTATTTATATCTTCTGCCTGACCACTAGTTAGGCTCTTGGCCCGATTATGTAGAAATTTAACTAAACATACCTGTACTGCTTCTGGATGGGATGAATTAAAGCCTAAGTATTTATTAGGGGGTATGTCGGTTTCCTATAAATGCTACTATCCATCTAACCCACCATCTTGTTTTCGTTTTATTCTACGGTCTAGCATGGCCAACTCACTCTATTCGTTTTCTAACTCAAAAGTCAATTGGATTCCGCCTACTTTTGAGTTTATATGTATGGAAAAATGAGGGATATGTTCAGATTTCAACACAGTGAATGTGTCATCCACATATCTCCACTATAAGCTAGTAGCAGGATTAAGTGTTTTAAGAGCCTTATGTTCCCAACTATCCAACTCTCTGCTACTATTGGTGATATTGGTGTTCCCATTGCCACCCCATTCTTTTATTTAGATAGTTTATTTTGAAACTGTTGTGGAGATCTACCACACTTACCACTCAACACAAGGAAAAAGCTTCAAATTTTCAAGTCATGTCAAGTCGGTGCTTCTTCATGGTAGAGAGATTTCGAGCAAGCATTACCAAAAGCATTTCCAACAACCTGCTGCAGATTTTCATCAACAGTCACCTTAGCCTGCTGACTATAGAAGATCAGATGACAGGAACTCTGGCAGTGCAGCGAGTCAACCGAGAACTTATTTCCCAATGAATATGCAGAAGGAGTGGATTAATCGTAAACGATGATTCGACCTTTAAGTGTCACCTCAAACCAGGCAATGGACAACGAATGTGGAGCCACGGTTTGAGTGAGGATCTGAGGAGGCCATGTGAAAAGGAAATCGTGGTACCAGTTAAAAAAGAATGCAGAGAAATAGTGATGTGGAATAATGATGTACTGCAGAAGCCCTATGTTCCACTAGGACACTCAAGGGATGAATAATAGTGAAATAATAAACTAACAATGTATGATCAAGTGTCGCTAGATATACGCTGAGGACATCTTCATCAAGCGGCATCATACTCCAGAGAAGCTGTAGAGTGGAACCTAAGTGAGAAGCGACTACTTTGGTTTGAGTTATGGTGAAGGTCAAATAAAAAGGAAAGAAGAGCTTGTGGGCAGTTATAAGGCTAGATAAAAAGAACAGAGTACAATGGAGATGTACTGCTGAAGTCTTGTGTTCCTCTCCGAACCCAAGAGATGAATAACATAATAATAATGTGATCGGTACTTTGTCGACACTTCTATGAACATAAATTTTTGAAGTGTGGTATTTCTCACAGAGTTACGTGAGGAATCCGCCGCAAAACCTGCGCCGACTATTAGAAATTTAATACTCCTATAACAATTTAGCTTTATAAATAGTTTTTATTCCTATTCTATATGTGCGTGTTTCCAGTTTGAAGGTTCAGAAGTTTCACTTAATCGTCGCGTGGGTATATTCATTACAATGAATCCTGGTTATGCTGGTAGAACAGAATTACCGGAATCGTTGAAAGCTCTGTTTCGACCAGTTGTTGTAATTGTACCAGATTTAGAATATATCTGTGAAATTATGCTGTTTTCACAAGGATTTTTAACAGCTAGAGTAAGTGACATTTGTATTACTGATTTTAGTAGTATTGTTTTGAAATGTTACAACATTTATGATTGTATTTCTGTGCAAAGTTCCACCATGGTCTATCAGTTTAGCCAAATTTTATCCATATCTAAGTATTAAAATCCATATTTTGGGTCATAAAAGTATTTATTGAATAAATTCGTAATTTTTAAATTATACTATATGAGGTTAAAACTCACCGCAACTCTCTTTAGAGGTCAAAACTATTCAAATCACATTGCGTGATCTGCTCGATGACATAAGTAGTAATTAGGAAAGCAAACAAAATAGTATGTGTGGCACATACTACTGTTTGAAATGGATAGTTGAAAGCTACTCACATCATCCAGTAATGCTTGCTGACCAGATCAAAGTCGTCTATACACCACTGCTTTATATTATCCGTTCGCCTAAATAGCTAACTGGAATTCAGGTGGTGGTGGTAACTGATTTGGCTAACTCAGGCATAAGTCAAACCAAGTACACTACAGATGTGCTCGGACTCAACTTAATAAAATGGTCTTTATCAAAAAATTGTGATTTTAAAGTCTGCTACATGCTGCTGATGCACTTATTGATGCAGACTTCAACCACAATTATTAATTTGATAGTGTGGAATATTCCCATATTATTAATTAAAAGTCAATTATAAAATATAATATTTGTTGTCGTTACAATAATGATAGCCAGTTATGCGGCGGATACACTTTTAACGTAGAATAACAGATTAGCAGTTATGGGGTGTCAAAATAAATAGTCGTATTTGTGTGACAAACATCTTGCTAGGCTGAAATCGATTACAAAATATTGTAAAACGGGAGACAATGGTGGTGGTTAGTCATAATAGATTTGTAGAGTGTGGGGTAGGAAAAATTGACAAGTCAGTTCAAGGTTATAAAAGGTGTCAGGTGAGTGGCTAGTACAAAGTGGTCTGTGTTAAACAGGAGATAGTAAGACTGCAATGGGAGGTTCATAATGAGATAACGAATATGTGAAATGAAATGTGTGGAGGCATATATTGAGAAAAGAGATAATATCACTAATAATAAGTCCGGATAGTATAAATGAAATATTCGACAGTATTGAGAGAATGTTTGCACGAAGGGCATAAATTATGACGAATAATAATAATTGTAATAATAATATTTGTAATAATAAGCAAAGGAAAGAAAACCAAGAGGGTTAAGGGGAAGGAGCACTCTTGGTGAGAAGAAGAATCACCAATCCGAGTTTGGCCATGGTAGGAACAGCGTCTGGACGTGTTCTTTTTGGATACAAAGTTCCGGTTTAGTCGATCTTATTGCAACAGCTTCAGCTATGTTTAGGAGACGTAAGCGAACTGTACGTGATAACGAATTCGGAATTCTGAATATAACCCTGAAAGCTGTTTTGACATCGATATGGTGTCCAGTATTATTATATTTTATAATTGTAAGAACCTGAAGAGAAATTATTGAAAAGAATATTCTTCGTTCAGATTGACAATTATTTAATCACTGTTAGGTGTTGAACGTGTTTGGCGTTTTTAGTTTTTATCCTGGCATTGCTATATTGAGATGTCCACTGCCCTATCTTACATTGGTTTAGGTGGTTATTCTTCAACCACCTGGCTGGGAATTTGAGCGTTGAAGTATCATTCTTAGTTGATGTTTATGAGAGAGAACCTTCGTTTTGTAGTGGTACTTGTCAAAAATGTATTCACATCAAATTATTTTCTCTCTCTACAGATCTGAAGATGATGTCAATGTTACAGACTTATCAGTGAGCATTATTGATGAGTGCCTGTTGCTCAGGCAATTTTGTTTAACTCATAACAGGAATTCATTTTGTAGTATGTGCTAATGACAATATCTGTCAGCAATATATATAGACGCAGATTGATCGGAAGGGGCCAAAATTGAAAACATTTCTAGTAGTCAATGGCTACAGAAGTAGAAGTTACGAACACAATATTCAGCGAAGAGACTCTTTTCAACGAATTTCTTATCAAGCTGTACAATCGTATATATATGGTTTTTATAAAAATTATATCCGGTGAGGGAATTAGGTCAAAGGTGTGAATACATGAAATAATAATAATGGTATGAAATGCAATTAAAATATTTGTGATTATAGTCATAGTTTAATGTCAAGTGGCAAAATAATTAATGTCGTATATAGAATAATACATAAGGTGTATATATTTTGGAAAGGGGTACATAATTATAAGATTAGTAGACGAATATAAAATGTTACATAACATGGTGTGAAATTTGATAAGATAGAATTCAATATTGCAAAAATAAAAATATAAAAATTAATAATTTTGGGTTTAAAATGTCAAGTGGTTCAAGTGGAAACAATTCAGAGTGAGAATAGTAATAATAATAATATTAGTAATAATCGTAGTAATAAGGGAAGAGTATATAAAATAACTAAATAAGCAAAATAAAATAAACGTGTATCCCTCTACGGCCAAGGCAGAAGTAGGGATTGAACATACTTCTTTTGTACACAAAGGTCTGGCTTAAAGTCATGAATGGCCAAGGCCTCCGCTATCTTTAGAAGTCTATAACGAAGAAAACGCGGGAAGTTAGCATGGATTCTATATATGATCTTAAAATCATGGTCAGGGTTGACAGAGTGACAGAAGTCGACCAGGTATTCCAGAATAGAGCTTCGCACACACTTCCTTTCTCCATTGTACAAACGTGCTGGAATATGTTCTCGCATCCGTGTGGAAAGCGTCATCTGACTACGGCCAATGTACCTTGTTCCACAAGAGCAGGTGAACTGATAGATGCACGTGGAGGCGGCCAGACGTGGGAGCTTATCTTTTACAGAGACCGCAAGTTGTTCTCTACCTCTGTTGAAAAATGTCTCTTCGCTGAATATTGTGTTCTTAATGCTATAATGGGAATTATTAAATTATTGAGAAGGAGAAGTGTTTATTTCTCAAATTTGGATTTAGCTTACTCTGTGGTCAGGAAATAATCTCAAGCTGTAACCTTCAGAAAATCAACAACCTATCAGAACAGTTTATTATCATCGTCTGACTTAGCCAACCATAAGTATGGCTGAATGTGTTGTATAAATATGATGTGACTTTCCTTGATTATAAAGACCATTACGAAGTCTCTTGCATTTTCCTGTTACAATTTGAGATAACGTTAACATTCGAGTTTTACACCTGTGGGTAATAAGCTGACACTTTCATCAAGTTAATGTGACCACTAAAAGACTTTGTAAAATAACAGTTACACAAATAGTGCATTGAAGAATAAACAGAATAGACATTTTTGCTGAGGTGAAAGTAAATAAATAACGCAAATCTTATTTCACTACAGCAACTTACTCATGTTACATTCACCTGGCTGTTTCTTTGCAAAGGTTTGATTGGTTTCTGTTACGGTTATGGACTGATATCAGTTAGAGGACCGTTGAAAGGTCGGCAATGCTGGACATATGTTTCGTCCTAGTTTGAGAGTTTTCAGAGGTAAGAAGTCACTGGCTGCCGGATCCCAGGTTATTTGCTAAACCGTGGACGGGCTTGGTCGTTTATCTGAAGGTCATAAGTTTGGTCCTAAGTGAAATAATAGGTTCGTGATAATGAACATTCCGAAGCTCTGTGGTTTTTAATGATTCTGTGACTGATGTCAATCCAAAAGTAAAATCTGAGACTTAAATAACTTGAATGGTTTGATGAAAGAGATCTGCTCATGGTGTGCATGGAAACAAAATAAAACACGGAATCACGTAAGAGTTTTAAAGGAATACATGGGTTTTAAGCAGTTAGAAAAACAAGCAAACAAGCAAACGTTAGGTCGGATCAACAGAGTATTTACTATTATAGTAGAAGTGGCTGAATAATTTTCGCTTCTATACATAACTCTGGTTCTTTCAGCTGAATGGCTAGGGCTTATGCAATGTAAAGAAGACGGAAACGTATTGTCTTCGGCAGGTTGTTCTTCACTTTGTAGATTACTTTGAAGGGGGAGGAGTTTGTTGAAATGGAATGACCAGTGGTGACGAGATGTTCGATTATCGCACTCATATGGCTACAGAAAGGAAGTAGTGGCCGTATAAGGAGTGCGATAATCGAACATCTCGTCACCACTGGTCATTCCATTTCAACAAACTCCTCCCCCTTCAAAGTAATCTACAAAGTGAAGAACAACCTGCCGAAGACAATACGTTTCCGTCTTCCTTACATTGCAAAAGCTCTAGCTATTCAGTTGGAAGAACCGAAGTTATGTATAGAAGAGAAAATTATTCAGCCACTTCTACTCTCATAGTAAATACTCTGTTGATCTAACTTAACTTTTGCTTGTATGCTTATTTTTCTAACAACTGAAAACTCTTGCGTAATTCCGTATATTATTTTGTTTCCATGTCCACCGTGAGCACAACTCTTTCATCAAACTATTCGTGTTATTACATAGCTCTTCTTTAGCAATCGTTTGTAGCAACTCATCACTTTTGTTAGTACCCTCTTATATCAACATCAAATTCCTCTGAACGCTGTTTGTATTACGTAACTCCACCAAAAACTTACTAATTCTCACCTGTTTGGTTAAAATAACCAAACTTGATGTACACATCCATACAAAATAACCCATATATATTTGAGATTGTCCAACTAAGAAAATGAATTCGCCGAAAAGAGACTCTTCGCTGAACTACTGGTCTTCTCTTTATTAATGTTCGAGTGGGGATTTTTCATGAACTTAAATAACTGTATTCCTCTTTCTTGATAAGACTGACTGTTGATATTTTGAAACATATCTGTGGGCGTAACTTTGTACTTAACCTTTCTTTTTCTTCTTTTTTTTCTTCCATGAAATCAAGGAATTAGCTAAAAAGATGACAGCAATGTATCGTTTAGCTAAAGAACAACTATCTCAACAATATCATTATGATTTTGGTTTAAGGGCGTTACGCTCTGTCTTACTTATGGCTGGTACAATAAGACGAGAACATCCAACTGTCAAAGAAGATCATCTGTTAATGCGTGCATTACGTGATTCAAATATACCAAAATTAATTAAAGACGATACACCATTATTTATGGGACTTGTACAAGATTTATTCCCTGGTATGGAATTTGAAGCAGCTACTGTCCCACAAAAATTGGCTGAAGCATGTGAAAAAGTTTTAGAATCACATCGTTACACTTTAGTTGATGAACAGGTTAGTTTTGAAGGAGAAAAAAAAGTAGGAGTAATTCTATGTGATTATTCCACTGTTAAAATAATAGTATTAGTAAAAATAATATCTGGCCTAAATGTATGCAAAAGGTATCCTGTCTTGTTACTTCATCGTTCTGACTAGCTGGACAATTAACCTGACAGTTATTCAGCAGTTTTTTAAGTCAGTGGAAAGAATAGGAGCATATATAAATATACCCATAGCAGACAAATCTTTAATATTTGTAAACACTCCCTCCGACTCATTCTGTTGGCTGTAGAAGCTCTAGTATGGTTAACCACCTCTGATTGATAGACTTCAGTATTAACCGACAACTAGTCAGTGTGCCCAGTACAGTACAGTTCTACGAGAAGTTAGTTGTCAATCCGAATATGTCAGTGGTAACGACCTTGTCTGTATCATTTGATTACAAGCGTTCGAATCTCAGAGGGAACATTAGAGTTACAGATTCTCCATGCTGATGACAGCTAACAAGTAGGAGACCTAGATGCAGAGATTCCTGCACCTTACGCCAACCTAGTTCACTGCGAAGGTGAGCCATCTCGCATGATGACCACACTGCAAACGTGACCTACAGAATTCAGTTTGCACTAAGACTGAGGACTGGACTCCTAGAGATCAAACAATGGACACCTGGTTTTTGATGTAGTTGTGTTCTCTGAACAGGATGGTTAATTTGTGAAGCTTTCATTGCCCTACTAGACAACATCTTCACCGCATACTTCAATGTGAATTGAAGTGAGCTTTCAGATTTCTCCACGAGTTCATGAGTCATCTCTCCTGGTGACCTTGCGACTTGATTGGTTGTTTTTGTGTGTTTTCACACTCTCTAGGCTACTTGTATTGGAACTGATTGTTTCCTTGACCTGAAGTTTGGCTCTTTGTGTGCGAGGTTTCTTTCTTATCGATTGGTAAATTTTGTCTATGTCAATGTGTCTGTTGATTGATGATTCACTGGAATACCAGGCTTCTAAAAATTCTCTAGCATTCTTGGTGTTTCCTCTGTCTAATATCTGAACGTTGCCCCATTTGAATTGATGTCCGTAGTTGTCTGTATGTAGTGATATGAAGAATTGGATGTCATGTTTTTTGACAGCTAGTTTATGTTCATGGATATGAAGACGAAGGGGACGTCCACTTTGGCCAATGTAGTGTTTTTCGCAGTTGTTACAATTTATTTTGTAGATGATGTTGGTTTCATCTTCTTTCGTTGTTGAGTCGTTTGACTGACATAGAGCCAGCTGACTGGTGAAGTGCTTTTGCTGGTTTCTGTGTGACGTCAATTCCTAAAGGTTTGAAGAGTCTTGCAGTGATTTCTGAGATGTCTTTTATATATGGTAGGGCGATTTTCTTTGTGCTTTCCTTGGGAGCGTTCGATTTGGTAGGTTGGCTTGGGAGCATATGTCTTTTGATGAATTTCCGTGGATATCCATTCATTTAGAAGATGTCCATGGACGTCTTCATTTGATTATTCTACGTTTCTTTGTCATCAGTATCTCCAGAATACAACTGCTAAGCTAAAGTGAACTGTCTGATCACTTTTAAAGATTTTGAAGTTTGAGAAATGAAAAACTCAAGGTAAAATGTTATTTACCTTATAATTATTTCTCTCAGATTGAATATCTAATCTCTCATTCAATTTTTTTAAAATAAATTTCAGATTAATAAAATCTCTCAACTACAGGATACTTTAAAAGTTCGACATGCTGTCATGGTTGTCGGTCCAACTTCTGGTGGGAAAACAGTTGTGATAAATGTTTATGGAAAAGCTTTAAAAGTGTAAGTTTACAATCAAAAATAAAATGGGGTTGAACGAGATCTACAGGATCACTGAAGTTTTCTCTTCCAAAGAAGTCTAGAATGATAATTAGAAATTGAACTTTGAAATAGATAATGAAAACAAAAACACGTAGTTCAGTGGACAGTATCTTTTTGGCGAATTCATTCACTAAAACTGTACAGCTAAGTGAATGAATTTGCCGATAAGAGACTCTTCGCTGAACTACGTGTTTTGTTTTCAAATAATGACTGGATGGGGATTATTCATGAATCAGTACATATAAAGCGAACAATTGAGCTAAATGTAAGGCTCAGAATCCATTTATTTGTCTGTAGTATATGCTATTGTATTAATGGGTAGAATGAGTAAATAACAAAATATAAGCGTCAAGTCATGAGGTGTGTCTGGGACAGTTGTCATCAATAAACACTTTCAAAAAGGTGAGTCGAAATCTTCCACGATTAGAAATGAAGAACACTAGAATATTAGGAACGAAGAAGCGTAGGGTAGGATATAGTTTGACTTCTACAGGGGGTATAGTTTAATTTTACAACCGGAATTATTACAGACAATAAATAGAATATTGACACATAACAGGTGACATTAATTTAAATGGAAATAAAGAATTACGAATACAGAGTAGTGGTGTAAACAAAAATAAACTAATTAGTTCCCTTTATGAATTCAGACAAAGCAATAAGAAGGAGTCATTTATCTGAATCGTGTAATGTAGTATTGGCACAACACATTTCGAACAATCTGATCACACACACGGACTTGTCATGGGAATATATGTACATGAAATTAATAGAGTTAGGAGGTGAGAAGATAGAATTAGGTCAAGTTAAAAGGACATACTGAAGGTCATAATAACAAAGAAGATCACTAAACCAAATAACAGACGTAATAGTACATCTACTCTGGCTGGTATCAAAATAAAGTTCACCGAGGAAGGTTTAATGTGATGACGAATTGCTTTTGAACGCATATAGATGGTTTAAACTTCCGCAAACTTTAGGATATGCCCTCCCCCAAACATGTTCTACAGATAGGTTTAAAAGACGTGTAAACATCGATTTTTATGTCTTGTCTCTATAAAATGTTTCGCAAAAGAGGAGCTAGGTCTCCATTAATGAGTTTTGAAGATTCTGTTTGCTTCTGAATTAGCCATTTAGGAATATGCTCTGAAGGCGTTACTTCCAGAGATCGATGAGTCCACCCTATGTATGTGTGTGTGTGTCCACACGTACATTCAAATTGGTAAATACAGTGGGATGTGACATCACTTTTCGCATGTTCAAAGAGCTTTGATGGATGGATATATTGGCTTCACATTCTCAATTATTATGATCTTAGTTGCATAAAAAGTCTTTTTAACCACAACAGCGTTCAATCTTTGTCTAGTTATCAAGCTGCTATGATGACCCATATAGGGTAGCTTGATGTACACGCCTTTCTTAGGGGCGAGTTGTAGAGTGGGTCTTGGTGTTCCGCTAACCACTTTATATCTCTTGATGAACTTGTCTGGATAATTATTGTCAACCAGAGTTAGTGTCAACTTTCTTTCTTCCTCATCAAGTGTGTCTTCAGTTCATATTCGTTGGATTCTACTGTATAGGTGTCTCATTAAGGCTCTTTTGTACCGAGCAGGGCAGAAACTCTGATAATTAAGTCATTTCAAAAGAAAGAAGACAGAAATGGAGAAAGTACAGCATCTTGAGTAAGTACACCAGCTTCAGTAAACAAAGAAGGAACCTCCTGGCTTGGATTCCTAGTTGGGTCATGTGTACGTAGTACTGAAGAGTTCCAAAGTGGGGTGAAACAACCCTCCAGTACTCATTGGTTTCCAGTGATGCTCTGTCTGATGCTTAAGGAAATCGCCATTGACTGTCTAATAGTTTATATATCACAGTGGAAGACAGGTAATTTTTTAAATTGTTTTTAACAATCTTAATGTGTAGTGTGTAGTCAAGATTATGTCTACATTTTGTTTCATTTCATTTCTCTCTTTCCTGTTTTTCTATTTACTTGAAAGACTTGGAATAAATACAAAACTCTATACAATAAATCCTAAAGATCGTAGTGTCAATGATTTGTATGGTGTACTGGAGCCAACATCACGTGAATGGATGGATGGTTTATTGTCGCATTTATTCCGTGTTATGAATCAAGTAGGCAGTGATGTCAATGAACGTCGTATGCTTATCTTTGATGGTGATGTTGATGCCTTATGGATAGAGAATATGAATTCTGTTATGGATGATAATAAGCTGTTAACACTGGTTAATGGTGAACGTATACGACTGCAACCAAATTGTTCATTGATATTTGAAGTGAAAGATTTACAGTATGCATCACCAGCAACTGTATCACGTTGTGGTATGGTATATGTTGATCCAAGTAGTTTAGGTTATACACCATATTGGGATAGTTGGGTAAGTAGAGTTTCATCTCATATATATGTATGCTGATAATATCATAACTACTACTGTTCCTCTGAGTATTGTTATCATTATCAAAATAGCTGTTTCACTTCAAAGTGAACTTTCACGGAAGTAAGCATTTATGAATAATCCATCAGGGATCTAAACTAGGTTATCAGATTAACAGATTATCAGCCAGCGATTAGGTTGAAACCAAAAGGTTCAAAAACAATAAGTTCACCATATAGCTCTAACACTGTGTAATACCGTTGAAACCTACCTTAGATTGAATTACATCCTCACAAATCTTATATGTAAATATTAACCCATTCCAGACCTAGATCTACCAAGTTAGACATCAGAACATATGTTTGTTAATTCCGGATTCAGACATCGGATGTTAGTATACTAACATTGTAATCGAATGACCTCCACGGTCGGTGTATCTAAAAATTCTTGATGTGGCATACGCTACTAATAAAAATTTATACATATTATTATATTGCATGTGATGTCTTCTGAAAGAACATTTGAATTCCGAAAGAAAGAAGTGAGTTACAAAGAGGAGAAATGAAGAATATTCTGAAGCACAAAGCGCACACTTTCCAAACGCATCTCTGAACATTATCGAGCATGGTTAGCAAAAGGACAATGCAAGACAATTACTAGCTCAATTCTCGAGTACTTTGTGAACTCAGGCCACGTAGCTCCACCAGAGTCGTCTTTCAAGATCATCTACAAGGTGAGGCCAAATGGTACAAAGGGCGTCAGGTTTCGGCTTTTGTGTATGGCGGAGGCGCTGGCAATTCGTCAATACAACCCTGAACTCTGTATACAGAAAAAGTTTGTCCAGTCTCTTATTTTACCATGGTCTTAACCTCTTCACTAGTCGTTTCCTGTAAAAATTTCAGATTTTTTTAAATTTTCAACTTTACTTTTAGTTTGCTTTTACTTTAATAATTAATTCACTATTATCACTCTCATATGTTCCTTTTGTAAATTTTCACACCCTCTTCACACTCGTTAAATTGACACTCAACTACCTTTATTCTCACTCAATAGCAATTTTAACCTTATCAAATTTCTAACTTTGTGCCGTTGAGTACCACGTAATTTACGACTTTTAATTTTTTACTTCTAAAGCAACTTCCGAGTAATTATATCAATTATGTCACCCCCTATTACTCAATAATAGACTACAATACATTTTTGGTAAATATAAATACGACTGTACAGCCTCTGAAGATGATTTCGTCGAAAAAGAAAATTTTCTTCGCTGAATTTGTCTTTTATTCCCTTGAAGGCAAAAGAAGTATGTTGAGAATGTAAGATTTTTATATTTGTCCATCAGCTTAAAGTGAGTCGGTGGCACAGTGGTAGAATGCTTCCCAACCACGCATGTGGTCCGAGGTTCAATTCCCGCCCACAGACGCATTGCTTTACCTCGCTAAGCCAGTAATAAGACTGGTAAAAAGGGGAGGTTGGGCATGAGGCCAGCAGCAGCCCCATCCCGTAAAAGTAAGTACCACTGCTACCGAAACTTCAAAGCTCTAGCTAGAAGCCTTATTTTTCCCTGGGAGAACGTAAAGGAATAAAACGAAGAAAAACCCACCACTGTAAGCTCCTCCTTCAAGTAAACAATTCTGCTACCAAAATATTATTGTTCTCTACCATTACATCAGTCTAGGGTGAAACAAATATTCTATACTAACTATTTGGTTCTTGATTAGTCCCTATCATTCAACAAATATGCATGAAGCAATGGAGATGGATTAAAAATACGCTAAGGAAACCGTCGAGTGAAATCACACATACCAGGCAGACCTTCGAGTGGAACCCAGTTGGGAAATGACGAGATGTGCCTGTGTCCAGGGTTAATATGGAGAAGGTCATGTGAGGAGGAAAATGAAGGCTTATGGAAAATCGTGAAGCAAGCTAAAGAAAGACTGTGTAGAGATATCTCACTGAAGCTCTATATCCCACTAGGAGCTTGTGGGACGAATAATAATTATTAATAGCAATAATTTGGTTTACAGGGTGGTTCTTTATCTTATATCTTATCTTGATGAATACTATCTTCGAAGTATACAAAATTATTTTTGTAATGCTTATTATGTGTTTCATCCTTTAAAGAGTGATGTATTATAATGAACGAGTGTTATTGAGTTCATTCATGAACATGTTATTTCAAATAGAATCGAGAGAAAAAGATATCTACACTTAAAATTAATCGAATATATATATTTATATAATCAGTCTGCTGCTCCCTGTTAGCAACTGGGTGGATGCCTTCAGTCTGTACTGAGAAATCGTGGCCAGTGAGGTCCACCATGTGTCAAAGTGAAGTGAATACACACTGTATCGTACGAATCGACAGAATTAAGAATTCAGGAGCCATTGGATTTCTGCTGAGTGGTCAACAAGCTTGCCTTCATAACATGAAGACCCCAGGGTCGATCACCAGTAGGGTTGTGAGTGAGCATTACTGATAATTCCTCGGCTAGGACAAAATGTCTGTCCAGTGCCCCTTTGGTTTTCAAAGACCTCTCTAACTAGTATTGTAACATAACGAAATCTAGACATTTGTAAAAAATTATATTTGTAAAATCTCAGCGAGATTGAAATGAGTAATTCCAACGTTTCGTTCGGCAATCTGGTCCGAACTTCTTCAGGGAAATTAATCGAAATTAACATAACAGAGGTTCATATATAAAAGGAACATCTCTTGTTTTTAAAAACTTTGTCCAATCATGAGTCATTCAACAAGTATAATAAACAAAATTTTTATGAGCTCTAGTCAAAATTTGACCTCGAACTTACAAATATTGGTCTACCTTTGTTAAACACTTTAAACAGAGTGTATATGTGTGTGTGGGTAAACAGTTGTAAAACATTTCTTAACGTTTCCATAAGAAGATATGGACAGTCGAGAATTTTGACCAAGTATTATTAATTAGTGATACATATCCATTTTTTATTTATTTCGGTTGGTCGGTCGGTTTTCGACATAGAACTTTGCACATTTGTGCGGCAGTTCAAGTCGCCACACTCCCTCCATGTAGCACACAAAGCAAGAGAAGAAAGTAGAAGAAATGCATAATATAGACAGTAAACAGAGGTGTGAGACAAAGGAATAGTAATAACGGAGAACAAAACAGTTTCATTGGAAATCATAAGTCACAAGGAGTGGATGCATCTGAGCCAGCCATTGAGAACGATTTTGAGCCATGTCACCAATTTTTTCCAACCATTGGTTTTTACCATCCCGAGGACCCCAACCAGGAAGTCTACACCTTCCTACGTGGCTGGCTTAGACTAACTGTTGTAGATTTCATTGACTGGTGGCATGTTTGCGTTTGACCGCCGCAAACGTTGGAATTACTCATTTCAATCTCGCTGAGATTTTACAAATATAATTTTTTTACAAATGTCTACTTCTCACTCGGCGCCCAAATATTTTAGAACTATTCTGTCAAATCTTGACGACAGTTCATTTGAAGAACGAAATCTACATTGAAAAAGAAGGCAAAAATGAATAAAATTTTCAAATTTTTCTTCTTTTTTTCATTTAGCTATTAGGTGTACCATATGAAATGCAAGAAAAACTAAATGGATTATTTATAAAATATGTTCCCGCCTTAATTGATTTTGTATTCGATGGAATTATACCAACGTCATTAACTCGACTATTGGGTGCAAATCGAGCATTTACTGGTGCTGATGGTGGTAGCGTCGGTGGAGCTGGCACAAATGGTGAAAAAAGTCATGAACCAACAAAACTTGAAGAAAGTAAACAAAACTTCAATCCAAAATCAAAACAAAAACTTGTTTTACCATTGGTTAAAATGAATTTAATTGTACAGCTGTGTACTATCCTAAGAAGTCAATTAGACGTGGGTTGTATACCTGGTAAAGAATTAGATATTTTAGAGAAACAAGAGGCAAAAACTTCACTAGTATTAAGCGAGTATGTAATTAATATTGAAAAGTGTTCTATTGTAAATGTTAAAGCGACTTTATTGATGTTTACTGCATTTTCATTGTCTATAAGATTTGGGATAGTAGAAGTTTTTGAAAAGACTTTTTTCTGTCTATAGGCCTAACAATGAGACAGTTATTCAAGTATTGGTTTGTAGGGATTTGGTTGATTGGTTACAGGATTTCATCATGAGCTGACGCTGGTTAGAGAACCATTGGAAAACCTTCAGGGAGTACTGGACAGTTGTTTCGTCCTAGTTTGGGACTCTTCAACAGTATGCGCCCACCGGGGTTCGAACACAGGACCTTCTGGTTACAAAGCTAGCGAGCTCGTAGACCATTGAGCCACTGCGGCCCAATCCAATGGCCAGTGCTTGAATTCTAACTTCTGCCAATTCACGACATAGCACAACCGCTAGCCAATGTCTTCGATGAGTATTTGTCGTCACACCCGACCTGCTGCACCCTAATGGTCACGACTTACCACTAGAACCCCAGATAACTACCTACCTGAATAAGGCCAGTTGCCAGTGAGCATCTCTTCGATATTCAAGTATTGGTTTGTGGGGATTTGGTTGATTGGCATCAGGATTTCATCATTAGCGCATTGCTGAAGAGTCCCAAACTAGGACAAAACAGCTGTCCAGTACTCCCAGCTTGTTTTCCAATGGTTCACTAACCAATGTCAGCTCATGATGAAATCCTGTAACCAATGAGACAATTAACTTGCCTGATTATATTCCTAGTGTAACTTGCTTTATTTAAGAGTAGTTATATAGCTGTGTTTTTGCTGCCCTCAGTATAAAGATGAAGATTCGGATTTTTAACACTGATCTCAAGTCATTGCTTCTATTGGGCTCACAGACTTGGTGCGTCGTGAAAAGCATTTCCGACAGGCTTCATACCTTTATGAACAACTGCCTTCACTTATATACGTCCAAAACAAGTTCCCTTTTAACAGTTTGAAAAAATTTGGGCATTGGGTATATGATATTCATCATAATAAAGGTGTTTTTGTATTTCCCAATGAATGAAAAACAAAACGATATTACTGTTTTTTAATGACGTTTCGCTATTTAATGCTGCTAATAGCTTTATCAAATTAGCTATATTAATTAAACCAGAATTTACAAAATCTCAGCTTATATATACAGCAGCTTAATCATCGTTCATCAGCATGGGGTCATTTTTCGTTGTCAAATTGGCCAATTGGTAAAGATAACAAAGCCAGGTGTAGATTGTTGAATTTGATAAATGTGTAAAATTATTAAAAAAAGCCTGTGTTTACATTAAGAAATTGCTTATTGTTTTTATTGGGAATAACTTTCGAATTTATCTGTGATTCTCAAATTAATTGAAATTTATAAGCGAGATATGAACATGTCATCTACGTGAGAATCATAATGAGAATTAGCAGTTTATCCTTCGTCTGTGCTGGGCTAAGATGATGGGCAGTAAACTTGACATACAATGTTGAGGTAAAGAACACTCTGCTTGTTAAATTTTCCGAGTCTTGATACCAATGGTTTGGTGGTTACACCTCATATGAACGATAAAGCGGTTAGGTTAAACACTTTTCTTACACTTATTTCCCTTGATGATCTTGAACAACTGTTTCGTCCTAGTTCGGATGAACCCCGGTGGGTGCGAATTGATGAAGAGTCCCAAACTAGGACGAAACAGATGTCCAGTACTCCCAGGTTTTCCAGTGGTTCTCTAATTGATGTCAGCTCATAATGAAATCCTCCATGCAATCAAACAAAATCCCTACAAAACCAATACTTGTTCTTGAACAAAGCAGATGTAACAGAGTGAGCGAGATAACGTGACACGTGACAACCTAAAACAATTTTAATATATCAACTCAAAAAATATCCATATACTTCATTTACTGAGCATAAATAAACAGGCGTTTAATACTGTTATTTATCCCTTTGAGTTCCGAGTGGAAAATAGGGTCGTAAGTTTCAGCTTTGAAATTTCGGTAGCCTCCTCCTTTTACCGGGCTGACCATCGGTTTGTCGAGGTTTATGAGTGGTTGGTGAGCATTCTACCTCTAAACTAACGACACACAAACAGAAAGAGAAGGAATAGATGGTTGGAAGCAATCGATAGGATGCCTTGAACGTAATTTTCGTGCTAGTTGACACTCACCAATTAGTCAGCAAGGCGCATCTGCAATCTTAAAGGAACTTATGTCCTTTCTGAGATTTGAACTCGCGTCACCCAGTGAGTGCTGCAGTCAGAGACTTTACCACTGAGCTATACGGGCTCAGGAAAGCCTTTAATATTACATAATTAAATAACATAAGGGAAGGTTTTAAAAGTTGTTGTTAAGATTGAGAGTGTGAAATATAAATAATAATGATACAATGCAGAATTCTCATGAAAAAATTGCTCTTAACCTTGAATCTTCATTGAGGACTTTTAACAACCCAAAATCATTTTTTACCTATAGAGACACAGTAGGTGTTCAGAGGAGTTTATTGCATGATATTCCCTCCCTTCGTAGAATATCTTCAAGTAAAATATTAATTAATTGACAGCATATCCTGTGACACAATGCTCTCTGAGCTGAAGCATAAACCATTCCATTATGAAATATCTGCTTTGTCTCTGCTTCAAGAAATCCACAATACCTGGTTGAAAGCCAATCGTAAGAAGTTAAGAAGTACATTTTGAGACCCAAAATTACAAGTGAAGAACAGTTATCTTATGTATTGGGATACGTACGTTGCCACCCACAATCAGGTCTTTCCTCAAGTTTAGTAGAGACTTGTCGGTGGAGTGGCCGAGCGGTCCATGGCGCTGGTTTAAGGCACCAGTCTGAAAGGGCGTGGGTTCGAGTCCCACCTCCATCACGCGTTTGTTGTGCGTCGGTGGCATGGCGGTTAGGACGCTCGCCGACCATGCTCATGGTCCGGGGTTTGATCCCGGGCCGACGCACTCCTTTACCTCGCTAAGCAAGAAATAATGCTGGTGAAGAGGGAAAGTTGGGCATGAGGCTAGCAACTAGCTTGAAGCCGAATGTTCCACTGGGGAGCGTGAAGGAAAAAAAGTCGGGACTTGATAATCAGAATCTTGTAAACATTTTAAATACACACACAAGAGTAGATAATACCAGTAGAGGTCATATCTTAATCGACTAAAACAAAGCGAACGAGAGAAAATATACGCAATAGAGAGAGATGATAGCTTTTGGTAGCCCAATTTTTAAGCAGACCGCCAAGTGAATGCCTCGTATAAACTGGTATGTATTAAAGAGGTGATAGTAAGATTGTGGTGAATACCTCATCGTATTGGTGTGTGTGCGTCGGTGGCACAGTGGTTTGGACTCTCGCCGACCATGCATATGGTCCGGGGTTCGATCCCCTGCCGACGCACACCTGATATCTATGGTCGGCCTGCAAAATTTGGGCTACCGATATCCATGCTGAAAATTCCATACTTTTACTGAAAATACGGTGTGGTAGCAAGTTGTAATCAAAATAAAAAATAAATATTTTGTTCTATACTTAATTCTTCCGGATACGCCATCACTTTTGAATCCAAGCTTTAGGAAGACTGGCTCCTTCTTCCAAACTGTATGAAATTCTGCCATGTCATTCTTTGTTTAAAAGTGTTTCTTTTGAGTAGTCTGTAAGTATCTCTGTCGGAGTGGTTTCGTTCCAGCTGTTTTACTAAATCAAGGATGGTGCTGTAACATCTACTGTAACACCAGAAGACAAGACAAGGAAGCGAAGGTATATTTTCAAGTGATCAAATCGCTGTTTATATATCTACAGTTAATATTCGTTAACCAATTCGTTTAGTGAGTGTGTGATATTGGCATACACATTCAACGACATGAATAGAATGTTCAAATATACATAGTATTCTGTTGCCAATGCAGTATTGAATTGTGAGAATAACATTCCACCCCTTACATCAAGTAGAATGTTCAAATAGATAAGATATATCGTATTCTGTGGCTAATGCCGTCCGAATTGAACTGTGGGAATATGTGAGAATCCTATTCCGTTGGAACACACTGTCTGTACCACATCACCACACTATTAATGCATGATAATTGAATGCAGAAATAACCATAGAAGTAAAGTTTCTGTTTTTTTTTCAAGCCACCAACCATTTTCTCCATGTACAAGAATACTATCATTGTATTTTCTTTTGAAATATAAGTCATCTTTTCTTTTCAAATCATACTGTATCAAAACTTTTTGTCTTTACCTTTCATTCTTTCAGAATTAAGATTAGTACCAGTGGAGGAACTGATAATGAGCAACCACCTCCATCACAATCTTTAACATCAGCATTGACATTCTCCGAGAGACAGAGTGTTGCTTCATCAGAAGGCTTGTCCCTATCTAGTCCAGAAGTATTAGAATGTGTTTTTCTACATGCTTTAGGTTGGGCATTCACAAGTGTTGTAGAACAATCGTATCAAAGAGCTGTAGACGCATTTATTAAAACATTATCCGGTTTGCAGACAGCTGATGAAGGACCTGAAAATAATGTGCTACCTTATAGTAAGTATCTTATTGTTTTGCATCACTTTTCTCATGATAAGATATACGTGGATTTTGGTTGTCTATAAAGGTATCTGTTTATTGACTTGTCATTATAACTATTTTTAAGAGCAGGAAATATGATTTTTGCAGTAGTATTAGTAGTAGTATAAATAGTTATACTATCATGAACATAAATCTTGTAAAAGTCGAAAGTCTTTTTGTCTAATTTCATATCACTAGAAATTCCGAAGAGCAGTCTGTTATTGAGGCACAAAGACTGAACAGGATTCTTGACTTAAGACAGTTATAAATCCTACGAAGTTAAATTTTACCACTAACTACTGGAAGATATGCAAGTGAAAAGCAACAAGTTGGTGAGAGAAGAAGCATCCAGAGAAGATAGGACTTCCTGCAGGTGAACATAGAGAAAACAGAAGTAGGTGATGAAGATTCCTGGTCAACAGCAACAGCAACAACAACATCAGACAACAGACAACAATCAGCCAGCATAAATAGGAGGAATCTGAAAGAATCAACCTCCTCTACCTACCTACCTACCTGGGAAGCATCGTTTCAACTACAGGCGGACGGAACTGACGAGGATATCATCAAGGCGAGGATCGGGAAAGCAAGGCAAGCTTTCATTACCCTCAAGTTTGTGTGGAGGTCAACAGCACTCAGCATGGAAAATAAGATCCGGATTTCTAACTCCAATGTGAAGTCAGTACCACTATACGGATGGATCAGAGACTTGGCACCGCGTCACGAAGGGCACTTCGAACAAACTACACACCCTCATCAACAGCTGTCTTCGCTCAATACTACTCAAGATCAGATGGCCGGCCAGAAAAGATCAGCAACAGTGAGGGATCTCTGGCAGTGAGTGAACCAACCCAGTAGGAACCGATTGTGCAACAAATGTGGAGGAAGAAATGGAGGTGGATTGGCCATACTCTGTGGAAACAAACCATCAAGTGAGTGACATCACATGCCAGGCCATCGCTCGAGTAGAATCCGAATGGGAAGCGGTGAGTTGGTCGTCATTGCGAGAGTGACATGGAGGAGGTGATGTGAAGAGAAGATGAAAGCATGTGGGCAGACGTGGAGTTAGGTGATGAAAACGTTGGCAGAGAACTGAAAGCAATGGAGACGTGTGGCTGAAGCCCTATGTTCCTCTAGGAACTAAAGGAAACAATAATAATAATAACGACGGTAATTGATGAACATCGTTCAGAAATGGTTACCATGACTGGGATACAATGGTAGAGAAGTTGAGTAACAATACGGTGAGTTGAACTCAAATCATAAAAACAAAAAGCAAAGAAAACCACATCATAGCGGAGAGGAAGAGGTCAAGCCCGAAGATTGTGTAATCAGATAAGAGAGAGAGAGAGAGAGTAAAGACATCGAGTTACTAGGGCAAGGAAAGACTGATATTTGCTTCTTTCTGAACATGTAAATCGGGTTCCAAGAGTTTGTTAGCAGTTACTACGGCAAACTTGAGGAGGATTTAACTATTTTGTTTATTGATAACTTTAATGGCTTTCATGGTGTCCACCTTACGATCCATATTATCAAAAGATATCTGGCAATGGCATTATTGTAAGCTTTTGTTCCCTTGAGACGTTGGGGTTTTTAGTACATGTTCAGAAAATTAGAGGTGAGCCCTTCTTTCTGTTCTCCCAGTGTAACTGTTACCACAGATACATGTGAATTTGTATACAGAGTTAGAGTTAATATGAGAAGTGTGTCTGTCGACTTTTGATCTCACCGAAGAGCATGTTTTTTTCGATAAATGAGAACCAACTTAGCTACAAGATAGGTTCTAGCTAGTGAAGTATTCAATCTTCTTTCAAATATTCCTGCAACATTATAACCTTTGAAGTTGAGCTATACGACGACATAGGGCTTTTTTCAATGTAATTTGTTTGAGACTCAAACTTCCACATCCTTTGTACTTGTGAATGAATTTCTGAGGATAACAAGTGTTTTTCAACATCTTTTCGAGGATCAGAAATTCTTCCCTTAATTTATCTGAAGAGTATATACTCTGGGCTCTGTAACTTGGCTGACTCTTCTTGCGTAATCAGTATCCTATTGCCCGAAGCTTAGGCCTTTGAATTTTTAAGTGGAGGGTCTAATGTCATGTGATCAGTCAACAGAATGCCTATTTATATATTCGAGTGAAAGATTCAGAGTATGACACAGTGCAGTCTGTAGATCCCAGTACAACCCATAGTAGTTGGAGTTCTGTCAAGAAATTAGTAAACTAACAGGGTTCAGTATGGTGGATGAAGAAAGACTATGATGTTTTAAATACTATACTCAAATTACATTCTGAAGGATGCTTATAGTTTGTCTTCTAATGTATACGGCGAATCTGCTGAATGAAATCGAATTCGCAAATTGTTAAAAAAACATAAAGTTTAAACCATGTTTTTAAAAAATAGCGTGGGTATTCTAAGATTCTGTTTAAGTGTCTGCCTGTAAAACAGGATCTGTTAGAAAAACATACTTGGATGCCTTTTCATAGTCTCCGCTTACGCACCAACCCATTGTAATTCGAACAAAGTAAAAATATGTTGTTTTTTTATCAAAGTTTTCTTATTTACTGCTGGGAGCGAAACGCTCAGGTATAGTCATCTTAGTAGATGATTTCATTGTTCGCATAGGAAAGCTGAAGCAATTCGAGAAGTTTATCGGGAGTATCTGTGATACGCCACGTCGAAAAACTGATAACAGTGACTGTCTTTTACAATTTTCATCTAAATAACCACCTGTTCCGAATACGAAGAGGAAGTTTCTCAAGAGTAAGCTGACTGATAGTAGTGGAAAGAATGGGAAAGGTGTCGGTAATAGGTGTCTACTGTTAGCTATTAGGGCTTTCTGGGGAAGCTGGTCTTAGGAAACCTATGATAATTGGAATAATCGTCGAGGAGGGTGGGTGGAACATTATGAGAAGGAATCTGGCTGCCCAATATCCAACTCCGATAGATATAAAAAGACTAAATGGATTCGACGAAAACGCACCCGAAGAAACCAGGTAGGCTTTAGGCCAAGGAGAGGGTGTATTCATCATATCTTCACTCTTTTACAGGTTTTGGAAAGTAGGCATACCGGTATCCATCATCTGCCATTTTTCCTGACCCGAAGGCATCATTAACCTGTGTATGCCGAGAGGTTCAGTGAGAGGAATGCCGAGAAAGTATGTCGCACTAATCAAGGCACTCAACTGAGAATCATGAAGCCGTGTAAGAGCATATGGGCAGCTGTCATGTGGAATGATGAGAGCTATCGGTACCCGTTAATAGTGCCCAATGTCTCTTCTTTTTATTTAATTTCATCACAGATGTACTGATAGATGTGACGTTATTCAAATGAAACAGTTTGGGGATTGGCTTGTCACCAGAGCACACTTTCTACGACTTAGAGTATGCAGGTGATATTGTTCTTCTAGGTGAAGACACTGACAAAATGTAGAGCTTTCTGAACACTCTGAGCAGATATCTTAGTATGTTTGGTATGTATTTCACCCCTGTCAGATTTAAGACGATGTTACAGGACTAGCCTGCATGGACTCCTAGTTTACAGATATGGAGTCAAATGATAGAGCATGTTGACTATTTTACTTATTTGTCTAATTGCATCAGCTCGAATGGGTTGAAGAAATCTCAGCAAAGATACAAGAACCTGTTGTGGGATTTGCCAATTTGTATCATCTATGGCGCAGGTGTGATATCCGGTTATTTATCAAAATAAGTGTGTACTGCTCAGCAGTTCACCTACTCCCTCTTTATGACTGTAAAAGTGGAAGATATGAAGATACTAGCTGTCTTGGACCATAGGTGTTTAATTTCTGTCTCACTATTCAATTAGTATAATATGGTGAGTAATATTGGGAATAGACGTAGTGTTAGGTGTGGGGGGTAATTCAATCGATGAGGTAGTGAAGCTGCATCGATAGAAACTGCCAGGAAATGTGTTACATATGCCAAGTCTACGAGTGTCGATTTGTATGACATAGGAAAGTATAGACTAGCTGGTGTCTTCGGGATGCTAAGAATCAATCAGTGGAAACTGTTAGTGTTATGGTTATGTAGTGTTCTCAACGTATTCACTCCTTGTAATCATCCAGATTCTGAAGTTCTTTGCTAGTCTTAATTTGGGTATATTTGTCTACTTGTGTATGCTTCTACTAAGTATGGCAGCATAAACCAATGAACTGTTTAATTCAATTTTTAGATTTTCCCGTCGATTGATTGGACCGAAGTGCTCGGTCTCAGGTTAACATGTAGGCTTCTTGTGCAGATGCTTCGACGATGTCTGGGCATGTAACTAGAAGTCAGTTGGTGGATGGTAGCCTACTAGCAGTGGAATCCAGGATGCGCATTTTGTCCTATTCGGGACTCGTGGTCAACTGGGTGTACCTGCATTCCGCAGTGAGTGATGAGACCGAGCACTTCGGTCCAGTCAGTCGACGAGAAAATCTAAAAATTGAATTAAATAATTAATATGACCCGTTGCATAAGAGGTGGCTCTCGTGGCCCAACTGGTCTGGTAAATAACGCTGTGGCGTTTGAGACTATGCGCACTGGGTTCGAGCCTCGGTGGAAACACCATGGCTGGATCACTGGGGAATGCATGTACATCCAGTTGACAAGTCCCAAACAGAACGAAATGCGCATCCTGAATTCCACTGCTAGTCACCATCCACCAGTTAACTTCCAATGAACTGTTTGGTTCGAAATTGAAAAATTCAATTCTGTTCATTCAAATGGACACGTTTTTCTTTTATTGTTTAACCCTTGAACAGATACAATACCTATACATTATCCAATGTTAACTGATTATTTATTCGATGTAAATACTTTAATGTGGATACCATGGAGTCATCTTGTACCAGAATATATACATGATGTAGAGGCTCGATTTACTCAAATTCTTGTACCAACTGTTGAAACTGTTAAACTTAACTGGATTTTAATGGAACATATAAAAGTAAGTAATTATTCAATTGAGTAAGTCATCACATGTTACCCTGACGAAGTGGGTAAGTGGAGAAAGAAAATGTATACCATGAAGTATTAGTATGTTCAAAAGACAGTAAGTAGCCAGTGTCTTGCTGTCTGGTTTTCGATGCTAACAGAATTGTCTATCAACCAAGTTTAAAGTGTAAGCGTCAAACTGTGATACTTGCCATTGTGTGTGCTTCCCTCGCGATCGATGTTCATTTAGTTGGAGGCAGTCGGCAGGAAGCATTTGACTAAGATTTCATGTTAATCTTCATTCATCAGAGAAGTGCGTCTGTAAACTTGAAAAGGATGAAGTTCACTCAGAGGTGTGAATTTGTAGTCAGTTGTAGAGTTGTCGTGAAATGCCCATCAGCCCGTAAGTCCTTGTAGGGGACTGTCTAGCGAGCTCAAAAAGATATCAAGTATGCGAATAAAAATTCAAGTTAATGAGATGATAGTGTAACAATGCATTATAAAAAATACAGTAATGAGTTATATTAGTTAAACGGTTACTTGAATATACAGTTAATGTCCACGGCTACAAATTATTAATATAATCCACAGAAGCGTTCACTGCTGGAGTGGTGTCTACTGATAGAAGCTGTGTACCGGTTGTAGAATTGTCTTCGGATGAGGATAAGAGGTTCCTGAAAACAAAACACGGTTATGAGTGAAGCAAGTAGACAGTATAGACCAGTGAGAAGACGAAGCGACCAACAGTACACTGTATTTTAGATTGTACTCGGAAGTTATCTATATTCCAACATGAATCGTTTGAAAGAAAAGTCATGTACAATGTTTCTAATTTCAACATCTAACAAAAAGGTGTACAGTCATATTGTTACGTACTCCACATCCTCACAACTAGTTTAGTTAGTGCTGACACAAAAAGCGTGCGATTTAGTCAGGTGTAAGTCATCCCAGAATGACTATCCACTGATGAATTTCCTTAACAGTGTTCTTGACAAAATCAAGTAGCTTTACTCCATTAAGCCTGTGGACAATTAATTAATAGAGTAGTCACATTCCAACAAAGGAAAAATTCGCATTTAGACACTTAGAAGACAAGACGACTGAGGGAAAAAAATATTCACTTTTCAGCTAGCCACCGGAAGCATAGCACTCGAGTGACTGTACTTCAGGATGACACTGTATGCAGCTGTAGTCTTGAAAAAGGCTGGAATCTGAGTCTGGTTCTCCTGAAAATCAGTCTTAACTATTCATCATGGTGTACCATTATGTTAATTACATTTCAACAAAATAATGTCTATAAGGATTATTGAAAAGACGGTTGCAGTGAAGAAAATTTTCTTTTCGAAGAAGTCATCAATTAGGCTGTACATTCGTGTATTTATAGTAAATGTGTGCGAAAGTTCCACAACTATTTCCGGTCAAAGGTTGAATCAATGAAATTACCAAGTGTGATAATCAGGAAGATCGGGTAGAAAAGACATAATAAGATTATAATTAATGGAAAAACTTCTCAGTTTGTACAATTACGGATTAAGGACGTAGTATTAACAAAATAGGTAGGAGGTTTGGACGTATAAACTATAAAAAACAGCAACCTAATCTAGTAATACAGATAGGAAATAAAAGCGTAAAAGTAACAGAAATAAACAGGGGGTTGGACAAGAAAGGTAATACGTTAATCGATATTCGTGGGACTAACTTTTCATGATGGCCACGGTAGGGACAATAGTTGGACGTATTTCTTTTGAACACATAGACTGTGTTTGAGGACTGTTCAGTCCAAACAAACAACACCAATGGAATACCAAATTCGAGAAGAACTCCTCGATAAATGTGTTGTGGAGTGTCTGTAAAGAAATTAAGTAACCAGACATTGAATGCTGTATCTAAGAGGTACCAGGCTCTGAAAACAATGTCTACCAGAACAATATCTGGTTTTCATCGTCAAAACATCAGATGTTAGGAATAAACTTGCTATAAGTTAAAAAATATTGACACAGGGTTGAAGAAACATGAGGTGAAACTGAAACCTGTGTGTATTTATACTCGAGATTAATCCGAACACTTATAGTCTTTATGTTGATTGATTATTAAGTAATAATCTGGACACCAAGAATTAGCTCCGCTATAATACCTCGTTTAATATTCTTCTCACTAGTGTTTGTAAAAGTAATTTTACTTGGTTTCATATTCTCTACTAGTGCCTCATTTTTAACCGGAGTTATGTAAATGTCACCACCTATTAAAAGAAGATTTATCCAATATGTTAAAGAGCGATTCAAAAACGTTACACGGATGATTACACAGGCGTGCTTGAATCACTGGGCTACCTGAGTTCCTATCCAACACCATGCGTAGAATTTTCTCTATTTCTTTTCGTTTTAACCATTGATTTATGTCCTTGAGTCCTAAAATGTATTCATGCACCTTTCTAATTCGCTTTCAACCTACTGCTGAGTATTTCTCGGCGAAGAAAGAAAAATATCATATTTAACGACATTGCTCCACATGAGATATCGTAGATTGCCATTTTCCCTAAAGATTCTGAAGGAAGAGTGAATATTGTGTAATAAAATACGTTGAAAATTCTGTATACTGTATAAACGTTTTGTGCAGAATAAAGCTATTGTTATCACTATAAATATTAGATGGTTGGAAGCAATCGGCAGGAAGCGGAGGACCTAGGTTTCATACTAGTTAGCACTCGTCAGATGGGTGTATCTGCAAATTTGAAGGAACTCATATCCCTTCTGAGTTTCAAACCCAGATCACCCAATGCTGCAATTGGAGACGTCACCACTAAGCTACTTGCGCTCGCGACTGACCTTCTGTAGGACTGTGCTGGATATTTTTGATTGGACACTAGTTAGTAACTAGTGTCAGTAACGTGTCTAGTCTTTTGTTTGGTGCAGACTGAATTCCAACCATCTGATATCAACAAAAAAGTGTACCGTGATGACGAGCCACCTAGAATGGTGGCCACATTGCAAGCTTGACTGATAGAATTCAATCCACACCAAACAAAGGACTATACACATTACACTAGTTACTAGCTAATATCCAATCAAAGTATTATCCTTATTAATACGAACGAATTTCTTTGTGATTGTGTCGTATATCTTAATGATGAGCGTCAGTAAACTATAAAGACAGGCTTACAGTCTAACTGTTATTTGTCTCAAAACATCTTAAGCTGAAACCTATACGGAAGGCTGGAGTGTTAAATAGGAATCCGAGTTACAGAAAGATTCAAAACGGTATATTCCTGAGCAGATGTTGGCCAGCTGCTGACTAATTCTTAATTTCACTTCAGTAACATAGAGAAAACAGAGGTGATGAAGATTCCTGGGCAACACCACCAACAGCAACAACAACAGCAGACAACAATCAGCATAAATGGAAGGAACCTGAAAGAAACAACCTTCTTTACCTACCTAACTGGAAAGCATCGTTTCAACTACAGGCGGAACTGACGAGGATATCAAAGCAAGAATCAGAAAAGCAAGACAAGCTTTCACTACTCTCAAGTCTGTGTGGAGGTCAACAACACTCAGCATCAAAAATAAGATCCGGATTTTCAAATCGAATGTGAAGTCAGTGCTACTATACGGATGGATCAGAGACTTGCACTGTGCGTCATAAAGAGCATCTCAAACAAACTACAGACCTTCATTAACAGTTGTCTTCGCTCAATACTCAACATCAGATGGCCAGAAAAGATCAGCAACAGGGATCTCTGGCAATGAGCGAACCAACCAGGAACCGATTGTGAAACAAATAGACAGGAAGAAATGGAGATGGATTGGCCATACTCTGAGGAAACCATCAAGTGACATCACTAGACAAGCCATCGCTCGAGTGGAACCCGAAAGGGAAGCGGCGAGTTGGTCGTCAGTGCGAGGGTGACTTGGAGGAGGTCATGTGAAGAGGAGATGAAAACGTGTGGGCAGACTTGGAGCCAGGTGAAAACTCTAGCAGAGAACCGAACGCAATGGAGACGCACGGCTGAAGCCCTATGTTCCTCTAGGAATTAAAGGAAACAATAATAATAATAACATAACTCGAAGTTTCTTCTAATTAGCATGTGTATGAATAATATACTAATACTACGTTTACGGATTAGAAGTAATTTTCAGCTTATGTACTCTATAGTTTTTTACATCCACCGCTAATAAATTAGCTCAAACAAAGTGACAATACCATTTTAATTTTTAAGTTAATCTGCATTTCCCGTTGGTTGATCATACTGAACCGGAATGCTCGATCTGTATTGACATGTCGGTACCTAGAACGGATGCTTCAATGATGTCTGAAGATCAGCATGATGTTATTTCTGTTGAAGGTGACCAGCAATGGAATTCAGCCCGTACATTTCGTTCTACTTGAGACTCATTATCTGAATGTACCCTCATTCCAAGGAGTGATGGTGTTCTCACTAATACTCGAACCTTTCACCCATCTTTGGTGTTTCAAACAATGAGGTGCATGGTTTGAGTCCCAGTAGAAACATCATCGTTACTCACTGAGAACACAGGTACACTCGGTTGATGAGTCTTGAATAGAGCGAAAGGCACATCCTCGATTCCACTTCTGGTCACTATCAACTTAAATACTTCTCTGCTGCGTTCACTGAAGCTGGTGTCCCCCAAGGTGCTATACTCTCCCCACTTCTCTTTTCTTTCTTTCTACATGACTTACCATCTTCAAACGACATTAATTTTGTCAAATATGCTGACGACCTGACAGTATTTTTGTCTGTCAAATGTCAAAGTGACTGCTCTGAACTTAATAGCTTTCTGTCAGAAATCAGCCAGTGGTCCAAGGAAAACGGTCTTACCTTAAACCCCTCCAAATGCCAAACAGTCAATTTCATCTTTAGGCATAAATCCGACCTAAACAAACTAGTTGGCTCTCACGAGGTGTGCCACATAGATAGCACTGAAATAGAAACCAAGTCGGAAATTAAATACCTAGGCGTTATTCTATCTACTGATCTTTCTTGGTCGTCTCATATCTTGGCGATTTCTAAGAAAATATTCCGTCTTACCTTCTACATCAAGAAGTTAAGACATCCTGGTATAACCCAACCCTTACTCCTACAATTCGTTAACTCTCGCATTCTGCCTATTATTCTCTATTGTTCCCCCTTAGTTTTTCCCGGGCTACTGAAGAAATACTATAACATATTACTTAGGATGCTAAAGGTTGTCAGCAGGGTAAGCAACGTGCCACTTAGCCAGCTTGTTAATATTCTGGTCGACAGGCACATGGATTCATGTGAAAAATGGGCCAAATCCATTTTATCTAACTCACACCACCCTCTTCACTCACAACCCTCCCCTTGCATCTCATCAGGTAAAACCAGAAGCCAATATAGAAAACTATATGCTCTCACCAGCAAGAGCAAAATCTCAACCATACTCAACTTAGCTCGTGTTCTGTGTGATAAAGAAAGCATTAAGCGTGACACCTAGAACAACTGGACCTCGTCTTTCCAACTCATATCATTTATAGGTACAACATTTTCTTTGTTTATTTTCCTTTTCTTTCTCTCTCTCTCTTTTTCCGTTGTGTGCTGCTTTGTTTCTTTCTCTCGCTTACGCCAGTAAATATGATAGCACCTTCAAACACTGTTCAACTTTAACTTTGCTAGAGACACGCCAATATGTTGTTGTCATAATGAACTGAGATTTCCTTAATCTATGTAGAATTCTATTTAGTGACAATGTACAAACTGGATGCAATACTGTGGTGAAATGGTGAGAATTCCATTCTGTATCACAAGTACTGTTTTGGAAAAAAGCAAATTATTATTATTATTAACAATGCATTTAATCATTCACTGTTTATAATTTGAATGTATTTTTATATATTACAGCTTCGTCATCCATTACTTGTAATTGGTGAAACAGGATCGTGTAAAACTGCTACAATTGAGAGTACATTGAATTCATTAAATCGTGATAAATACAGTACATTGATAGTGAATTTTTCATCACGTACAACTAGTTATGATGCAATGCGTGTTATTAACTGTAATGTAGAAAAACGTGCAAAAGGTGTATATGGTTCAATTCCTGGAAAAAAATTAGTTCTATTTATTGATGATATGAATATGCCACAGGTAAAATGAGAATTATTATCCTTCTTTGAATAATAATATTGTCTCTATATTCAAATTTGATTGAAAGGGTTAAAAAGCATACTTTGTTCGTTGGTGGTTTAGCGGTAGAGCGTTGGCCGACTATGCACGTAGTCCGGGTTCGAGTCCCAGCACCGACGCATTCCTTTACCTACCTTAGCTAGACAAGGAGGAAAGGTTGGGCGTGAGGCTAGCTACCCCACCCTGTTAAAAAACACCACTCTACTGAAACTTTAGAGCTAAAGCTTGAAGCCCTATGCTCCACTTGGAACCCAAAAGGAATAAAATAAAATCTCCAACAGACTAAAAAATTTCTTCAACATCTACTTTCTTGCGGTTCTGACAGAAAGGATAAACAATATGTAACTCCGGCGACAAACCAACAAAATAACCTGTTGCCTAGCAAATATGCAGTAGGAAATGAAGATGGAGTGACATCACGTTCCAGGCCCACAGAAGTCCGTGATTGATATGGAAGAGGACGTGTAAGAAGGAAGTGAAAGCTTATAGATGATTGTGGAGCCAGATGAAAAAAGACCTCAGAGAACACCAGTGAAATGAAGATTTGCTGTTGAATCCATATGTTCCATCTGGAACCCAAGGGGATTATTATTATTATTATTGTTCCCTTGGGTTCCTAGTGGAACATAGGGCTTCAACTACACGTCTCCACTTGCTTCTGTCTTCTGCTGTACTTTTCACCTGCATCCATGTTAGTCCATACTGTTTCAACTCCTCTTCACACGATCTCCTCCATGTCACCCTTGGACGTCCCACTCGCGCCGCTTCCCTTTCGGGTTCCACTCGAGCTATGGCCTGACGCGCGATGTCACCCAGCGGCCTCCTCAGCTCAGCGAGTGTCCAATCCATCTCCACTTTCTCCTGCATATTTGCCACAGCACACACACACTAGCTGAATAGATAGTGAATACTAGAATAACTCGTAAACAGTGGTCACGTAACACCATACCAGACTTTGCGTGAAGATGGGGCTCATTGGCTTAAGCATTCAACTTACAGCTAGGGAATCACGTGTTTGAATCCTACACCACCTACTTCAGCCTGGGCAACTGATTAGTGTCATTAGCACCCTCACATAGTAAATATGGGTTATAAGCTGTTATGTGAAATATATGATTAGGATAACGCAGTTCAAACAGTAGTCTTTATGTTATTCCCCCTAGAAGCAGTCACTTAGTTTTTATGTGCTGAAAAGGTCTTTAAGGAGGCATTATTCTTTATAATACTGAATTGGTTTGTTTGTATGCCGCTTAAACAAAAACTTCAGGTGAATGAAGCGTTATTATATTACGCAGAAGTTACGAATGTGTACACATTGATTTATACCTCTGAGACCACTAGGTATTATTATTATTCATCAACTGGGTCTCGAGTGAAACACAGGGTTTCAGTAGCACAAATTCATTCCATCCTCTACTCTGTAGTCCTTATCAGCGGGTTCCACGATTGCCCATAAGCTTTCATCTTCACCTCACCCTTGGACAGACGCACAACTTGTTGTTTCCCATTCGGATTCTATCGGAGGGTCTGACGATTGATTTCCCTCAACTGTTTCTTCAGGGTATGTCCAATCTATTTCTACCTTCTTCTGCATATTTGCCAGAGTTCCTTGTTGCTCATCCTTTTTTGCCAGCCATTCGATCTGAAGGACTGAGGTAGTGGAGTTTTCTATTGGTGAAAGCCTTCTGTAGCCTGTTGAAAATACTTCAGACGACTCACTAATTCTCTGAGTCATATAGAAGTACTGACGTGATAGTAGAGTTAAAAATTCTGATTGTGGGATCCGTCATAATTTCCTTAATTTAATAAGTAAAATACCGGCCTATATATCATCTCAGGACTCAGCAGCAAGGGTACTAATCATATCATAAATACAACACACTAGATGATCAAAATCCATCTGTTCAAGTAGCAATACTTTGGAAGACTCCACAAAAAAGCATGTTACCAACAGTTCGCATCCATTGGTTCTAAGTAGCCAGTCAATCAGTCTACACCCTCCTCCTGTGTATCTCAAACTAACACTCGTTAATTTTGTGCACTGGTGCCGTGTTTTGGTCTGACCACCCCTAACTCCTTTCCAATCTAGTTCTACTTTACCTTCGGCTGTTCTTCGAGAAAGACAGTGGTTTCAGTATATGCGACTTATGCTCTGATATCCTTGAACAAACCATAGTATTTTTCACCGTTTATAACCTCTCTTGTGCGTCGGCGGCATAGTGGTACAATGCTCACCAACAACTACTCATGTGGTCCAAGATTCGATCCCTGGCCGACGCATTCCTTTACCTCTGTAAGCCAGAAATAAAACTGGTAAAGAGGGAAGGCTGGGCATAAGGCCAGCAACCCCATCCCGTAAAAGTAAATACCGCTGCTACCGAAACTTTAAAGCTCTAGCTTGGAGCCCCATGTTCCACTGGGAAAGTAAAGGAATAGAAGAAGAATAATAACCTTCCTAACAGTCATTCAAGAACGTAAATTCATAAAAAAAATAAAATAATTAAGGGGAAAAGTCAAAATGAGATCAGTATATTCATTGAAATTCTTTATTTTTCCTATTTCATATCGTCATGTTCTTGATGCTATTGATTTTTTTTTGTTGTTTTTGTAGAAAGATGCATACGGTACACAACAGCCTATAGCACTACTTCGAATGGTAATCGGTAGGAATGGAATGTATCAGACAGGCGGTGATTTATCATGGAGACAATTAAAAGATATGACCTATGTAACAGCTATTGGTCCACCAGGCGGAGGAAGAGAAACAACTGACCCGCGTTTTGTATCTTTATTTACAGTTTATCATGCATTAGCTCCATCATCGTCTAGTTTGACTAGTATATTTGGAAAAGTGTTGAAAGGTCATTTACAGAATGGATTTTCTACGGAGTTAATAAATCACTGTGAAATTTTTACTCGAATGAGTTTAGATGTTTACCAGTAAGTAAGACTGAGTACATGTGTAAAGTGAAAAATGCTTTATGTACTAACTTTTTTATCTCTCTCGCCTACCTAATCAAGTTGTCAGATGTTTGGCAAAACACTGCATACTGCTGATCATTGTGCCTACCTGTAATCTATTCAAATCAGCGAAAATTGCTTCCTAGTTAGATTTCATTTTGGATTTAGCTTCATCAGTCACTTAGCCTGAAGTATTTCCTTCAGAGAGTTAGCTTGTTTAAAAACCATCAATTTCCGATGAGTAGATCATACACTTTGTGACTTTTTGGTTCAAGGGTAGAATACTTGTCAGCCACGCAAGGGGTTCAGGTTTGATTCACAGTTCACGTATCCCTGTACCTCACTCACCTGATTGCTTTCAACATAGAACTTTGCATAGAAGTCCACCAGTTCGAGTTGCCACTCTCCATGTAGCGCACAAAGGAACACAAAAGACAGAGAAGAAATGAGATTCAAAAGAATGCTAATGAGCAGGACTGTGAAGGAGAAAGCATGGTAGTATGGAAAAGCGATAGGGCCTGATAGTCATTACAGATTTAAAAAAAGCGAATGTGTCTGCACCACTAATAACGACTTCTAACCATATCACCAATCAACTCCATCCATTGGTTCTTAGAATTCTGAGGACCTCAACCGGACAGTCTACACCTCCCTACGTGGTGTTCAGACTAACTGTTGAAGACTTCATAGACTGATGCGAAGTCTTGTGCCAGCTAAAATTGTCTGTCGAAGAAGGCGATGGCTAGGTATGCATAACACATATCCCATCCATGTCAGTCAGTGTGACTTCACAACCTTGTCAAGTGACTTTCTCTCCTTACCTATCATTCGATGCTTGACCTCAATATTACTCACCATATCTAGTGAGTAACAAGCTCTGAAAAGAAGGAAGGTTAGGTGTCGAAGTCGAGGAACCCCACCTTGAAAAAGCAGCTGTTTTACAACTGTAACTTCAAAAAGTTTGAAGCCCTATTTTTCACTTGGAGCGTAAGGAATGGGGAAAAACAAACTTTGATCTGACTATTTTTGAATTTCAGAAGAAACTCTGGTTAACTGTCACCTAGGACTGTGAATTCTGCAGTTATCTGTCTGGTGTCTAGTAAATGGTTGTAAAAATTTTTGTAAAACTAAAACTGTGTCTGTCTGAAACTTATGAAGCTGAAAGTCCGTGATGGAATCATTGATTTCAATCCCAAATGGTGCAGGCTATTATTATTATTATTAGGATTATATAAGATTTCATTATTAAGAATTATCAAACCTAAGATTCCTAAGATTTCCTACAACTGACACTGGAAAATATTTTCAGCTCAGCTGGATGATATTGTTGTAGTGATGACTTTGGTCATCAAGAAAGACAGTTATATCATTCATGAGGAATTCAAAAGAAAAGTCCACCTCATACAGAGGTCTGCTGTGAAGATATTGTCTCGTGAATAAACCAAGAAGCTCAGAGAGCACAACTACACCAACCGCACTCTAAAGTCATTAAATGTCAGGTGAACTGGATGCTGAGTTGGCAGTCTTTTAGCTTGATTTAATAAATTGGATTGTTGAAGATTTTGAGTGAATGTAGATTTGGTTACAAAGTGACACTGGTTAAAGACGAATTAAAAACCGAGGATCATAGGACACCTGTGTACACCAACGAACCCAGTAGAGATCTAACCTAGGATCTCCAGAATACCGGGTGAGCCACTTGACTACCTGTGAGTGTGCCTTGTTGAAGAGTCCTAAACTAGGACGAAACGGCTATCCACCACTGTATGGTTTTCGTTTATTCACTAAATAAGCATGATTCATGACGAAATCTACAGTGGAAATGATTCGAAGATATCAACAGGAATCAAATAATGATGACAGGTGAAAAAGTTAAGATCTCGCGGTTAAACATATTCTAATTGTATTAAATTTCCCCATTTCTAACTGCTTAATATTAAGATTAATATAGATCTTTGAATATTCTGTATAAGCTACCACAGAATGAAAGAGATGAAGTCATTTTCAGAGTTGAGAGATGTATGAAGGGCATTTTCAAGATTGTTGTTCATATTTTACTGATGCTGGTTAACAATCTATCAAATTATTTCCTTCCGTTAATGGAACAATAAGAAAAATGAAAATAAAAGAATTGTGACAAAATGATATTGTTACCTATGAGATTATTTTTTATTTGATACATGTATAATACTAAACATACTAGAAAAGCTTCCACTAAGGGATGAAAATGATTTACTCCCACGCCTTGTATTCCAAGTGAGACATAGAGTTCCAAGCTTTGGAGTTTTCAAATCATTGAGTTATGAAGAAAATAAAATACAATTCAGAGAAGAAATTTTTCTTTTCGACGAAGTCATTATCATCGATGGGGAACTGGAGCGACTCAGACAAGTCCTCATGGAAAATGGATATCCTCCAAGATTCATCGAGAAAAAAATGAAGTTAAAGCAAAAGCCTGAAAGAACCCAGATGGTGTCGAAAAAACTGCTATTTATGAACTTTGAATTCAAAGGTGATACCGCAGCTGAGATCCTGAAGAATCGCTTGTGGAGATCACTGAGAAAAGCCTTCTTTACGGCTGGGCTACGGATCAATTTCTACAGCCGACAAATGATCAATGGATGTGTGAAGGATAAACTGCCGCTTTGGGCCACTTCAATGTGTGTTTAAAAATTCACATGCTCGTGTGGAGCTAGTTATATTGGCCGCACAAAGCGCACACTTTCCAAACGCATCTCTGAACATTATCCGGCATGGTTAACAAAAGGACGATACAAGGCAGTTACTAGTTCAATTCTCGAGCACTTAGTAAACTCAAGCCACATAGCTCCACCAGAATCATCTTTCAAAATCATCTACTAGGTGAGGCCAGATGGTACAAAGGGCGTTAGGTTTCGGGTTTTGTGTATGGCGGAGGCACTAGCAATTCGTCAGCGCAGAAAAAGTTTGTCCAGTCTCTTATTCTACCATGGTCTTAACCTCTTCACTGGTCGTTCCCTGTAGTAAAAAATTTTTTGAAGAAAATGAAAGACAAATTCAACGGAGAAAATTTTCTTTATCGATGAAATCATCTTCAGAGGCTGTACAGTCGTATTTATATTTACCAAAAATGTATAGTGGTCTATTATTGAGTAATAGGGGGTGACATAATTGATATAATTACTCGGAAGTGGCTTTAGAAGTAAAAAAAATAAAAGTTGTAAATTACGTGATACTCAACGGTGGTAAAGGTAGTTGGGTGTCAATTTAACGAGTGTGAAAATGTGAAAAAGGAACATATGAGAGTGATAATAGTGAATTAGTGATTTGAAGCAGAGCAAAAAATTTTTTTTAATTTTCAATTTCACTTTTTAGTTTACATTAATAATTAATTCACTATTATCACTCTCATATGTCCCTTTTGTACATTTTCACACTTGTTAAACTGACACTCAACTACCTTTAACCTTATCAAATTTCTAACCCTTTGTTCCATCGTGTGTTGAGTACTACGCAATTTACAACTTTTATTCTCACTTCTAAAGCCACTTCTGAGTAATTATAACTTATTATGTCTTTTCTACCCGATCTTCCTGATTATTACACTTTGTAATTTTATCAATTTGACCTTTGACCTGAAATATTTCTAGAATAGTACTACTACCTATCTCCTGTTTATCACACTTGGTAATTTCATTGATTTAACCTTTGACCGAAAATAGTTGTGGAACTTTCGCACACATTTACCATAAATACACGAATGTACAGCCTAATTGATGACTTCTTCGAAAAGAAAATTTTCTTCGCTGAATTGTCTTTTATTTTCTTTGGAGTTTTATTAGCGGCGATGTTACTCCTTGCATAATGGGATTGCTAGACTCATGTCCAACCTTCCTTCTATTTTGGACTTACTACAGGCTAGTAATCTAGGCGAAGTTTAGGAGTATGTCAGCTGTAAATCGAACCCGAACCTCCTGAATGGCTGGTCGGCTATTCTACCATTGAATGACTGAAAATATACTGAAGAAGAAAATGGTTAGTTATGTTGATTCACCAGTGGGTGTAGTCAGTGTTATTCGTCTAGCCTATAGTGGTGTAGACTAAATTCTACCAGTCAACTTTGCAAAGTAGTCATCAAGCTGGAGCGGGGGGAGGGGTTAGCCATCTTGGTACACATTGAATTATTATTAGCTGGTTGATGACTATCAGCAGGAAGCCACCGAAAATTGTTACCTTCGAGATTACAAATACTCTTTGCTGATAAGTGTCAATTAGGAAAAAACCTAGATAGTGGTCTTCCTGCGAATCGCTAACTGCTTAGTGTAGAAAAATAAGTAAGAAATTTAAGAACTGAAATATAGCCACATTAAAATTGAAACTAATTGGTGGATGATAACTGTCAATAGAATCCAGGACGCGCATTTCGTCCCATTTGAGGCTCATCATCTGGATGCGCCTGCGTTCCACTGAGGCTCGAACCCAGTGGCCATAGTTTCAAACGCCAAAGCGTTATCCACTAGACCAGTTGGGCCACGAGAGCCACCTCTTGTGCAAGGGGTACATCCAGATGACGGGTCCCAAATAGGACGAAATGCGCATCCTGGATTCCACTGCTAGTCACCACCCACCAATTAACTTCTAATTACATGCCCAGACATCATCGAAGCATCTGCACAAGAAGCCTACATGTCAACCTGAGACCGAGCACTTCGGTGCAATCAATCGACGGGAGAATCTAAAATTCACTTATAAAACTGAAACTGTTAAGATTGAATATCTTCTCTTTCTGATAGTCAACAAAAGATAAAAGTTATGTGTATTTCATTTGAATTTCGGTAACCTCTGCACCATCAACACCCAACAATTTAAGTTTAATACAGACCTTCAATTCATTTAATTTTTTTTTACTTTGATAGATCAGTTAAAAATGGATTACTCCCGACACCTCTTCGATTTCATTATACCTTCAATATGCGTGAATTATCACGCCTACTTCAAGGATTATTACAATCATCACCGGAACGTTTTAAAGGAGTACAAAAATTTATTCGTTTATGGAGACATGAATGTTTACGCGTATTTCGTGATCGTATGATTGATGAAAATGATTGTGATGCAGTTAATGTAAGTTTAATGAAATAGTTGGATAGTTCTTAATATCAATTTGATAATTCTAAAAGCCTTTGGGAAGTCAGTCAGTTGATGTGTAAGCATGGAGATATGGAGTATCGGCATCATGTTTGAGGCTAGCTGGCTGGCTTGCTAGGCTGCTCGAACTGCAAAAGAAATGCGAAAATATAGTTTAGAAGTGATAAAAACTTGTGAGAGCAAATGAAATGGAAATGGACTCTCCAGGTGGCCAAACTGGCGAGTCGATGATCTACTCCAGTTACTCAGATGACAACCACGAACGCACCACGTAGGGATTAGCTATCATGATGTAGCCAATAGCATCAAAATCCAGTCTCCTTCAGGATAATAACAGCAAGATTCAACTCAAAAGTGAAGATAGTTACAATCATACAATGTCACTTACACTGCCGCAAATAACGCGTGAAAAAGAAGACTTCTACAGGCAGCTGCAACCAATAATAAACAAGACCCTAGCCAGATGGCGAAATGAAAAGTTCTAATGGGTAATATGAATGTCAACAAAACTAAGAGCAGGCAATACAGTAAGAGAACTCACCGAAGGTTGGGAGGCTTTCGGAGAAATGAGTGAGAACGGGAAACTCTTTGCAGACTTTCTCAACCTCAGTGATTTGTTGATTGGAGCAGTGTGTACAAGCGCAAAGATATACACTGGTCTACATGAATTTCACCAGATGAACACACGGAAAGTCATACAGACTTACAGGATTTCATCATGAGCTGACATTGGTTAGAGAACTATTGGAAAACCTGCAGGGAGTACTGGACGGCTGTTTCATCCTAGTTTGGGAATCTTCATCAGTGCGCGGCCACCGGGGTTCGAACCCACGACCTTCTGGTTACAAGGCTAGCGAGCTCATAGACCATTAAGCCACTGGGACCTGATCCGATGAAGAAGAAGTCGTGACCAGTAGGTGCAGCAGGTCGGGTGTGAGGACAAATACTCGCCGAAGACATTAGCTAGTGGTCGCGCTGTGTCGTGAATTGGCAGAAGTTAGAATTCATGGGCTGGTCATTAGATCGGGTTGCAGTGGCTTAATTGTCTACGAGCTCGCTAGCCTTGTAACCAGAAGGTCTTGGGTTCGAACCCTTGCGGTGGGTGCGTACTGATGAAGAGTCCCAAACTAGGACGAATCAGCCGTCCCTGAAGGTTTTCCAATGGTTCTCTAACCAATGTCAGTTCATGATGAAATCCTCCAACGAATCAATCAAATCCCTACAAGCCAACACTTGAATAACTTCAATCTCAAGAAAGTGAAAACGCAGCTTACTGTTTACAAGATGAAGAACAGGAGCAAACATAATCTCAGATCACTATCTATTTAAAGGAACCTTTAAGATCTAGTTGAAAGCCTTCAAAGAAGTTGGACATAGACTATAATTCAAGGAAGGCCTTTTGGAACTTAAAGGAAGAAATAATAACAATAATGATAGTAATAATATTGTATACATTTAACTTTATAAATCACATTGTAATAGGTGAATTTCTTCCTCTCTTATTATATTATATATTTATAGTCGATTATACAAAATCAAATAGAAGAACATTTCATTGATGATTTTGATTATATCATGAATGATCCTATTCTATTCGGGGATTATTGGGCAGCAGGAAATGATGAAGATGATTTACTTTATGAAGATATGCAAGATTATGAAGTATGCAAAGCAGTTACTGAAGAGGTAATGAAAAGACTATTCATCTATTTATTATTATTATTTTCTCCTTTAATTCCTAGAGGAACATAGGGCTTCAGCCGTGCGTCTCCATTGCGTTCGGTTCTCTGCTAGAGTCTTCACCTGGCTCCAAGTCTGTCCACATGCTTTCATCTCCTCTTCACATGACCTCCTCCAAGTCACCCACCATCGCACTGACGACCAACTCGCCGCTTCCCTTTCGGGTTCCACTCGAGCGATGGCTTGTCTAGTGATGTCACTTGATGGTTTCCTCAGAGTATGGCCAATCCATCTCCATTTCTTCCTGCCTATTTGTTTCACAATCGGTTCCTGGTCGGTTCGCTTCCAGAGATTTCTGTTGCTGATCCTTTCTGGCCATCTGATCTTGAGTATTGAGCGAAGACAGCTGTTAATGAAGGTGTGTAGTTTGTTTGAGATGCTCTTTATGACGCGCCAATTCTCTGATCCGTATAGTGAGTTGCACTGACTTCACATTGGAGTTGAAAATTCGGATCTTATTTTTGACACTAATTGCTGTTGACCTCCACAGAGACACATAGACAAATTTGATTTATTATCATATCGACTTCAGAAATGATGGAAGAGATTTCTACCTTAATAAGATGATATCTTGTATAGTTGCATTCTGTGTGTGTGTGTGCGGAATAGCTCATTTACAAAGCTTTCATAAATGTTCATACTGAAGTTTACACTGAAGATGTTGTCTTGAAGAATAATGAAGGCTTCACATACAGCTCAGAGAAAATAACTCTAGAATACTGGTTAAGACAGTATCCTTTGAAAAAAACAATTTCCAAATATCCTTATTCATGGCTGTGCATTCAGCTGATGAGGTGCAAATAGGACGAAATTTACCGAGGATTCTACTGCTAGTCTATATCAAACAACTAAATTTATTGTCGAAATTCCTGTTATCTAGATTAGTGATTTTACCTTTTGAATTATATATTGTATTAAACGGGGATATTGTATTTGAGTTCGTCACCACTATTGCAACAACATACAACAAAAATATAAGGCTGACTACTGCAATATTATTCCTTCACTGAGAAAAATACAAAGGACTGACTGAGATGGCCAAGATTTACTACCCTAATAGAAAAGCAATATGACTTGAAATTACATGTAATTATATAGTTGTTTCACATGAATAATAAACTAATGGTTTAAGATTGAAAATTCACAGGCTCTTAAATTACAGTCACAATAGCTGAATAATCAGTGAGTTTGACCTCGTAACCTCAAAGTCCCTGGTCCGATCCCTAGCGGGCTCGTAGGTACGTGCTAACGTAGAGTCGTAAACTAGGATGAAACAGGTGACCAGTGCTCTCTGGTTTCTAGTGTGTTTTTTTAGCTGATGTTGATTCGCGGCGAAATCCACATTAGGAATTAATTCAAAACTTCCAACAACCTGAGCTTTAATCCACATTGGGATCAACTGCCTACTAGGTAGATAATAAACCTCCTCTTGTCCTAACATTATATTTTGCAGAATGCTTTTTCAAGAGTTTGGTTTGTAAGGATTAGATTTGTTTAAACAAGTTTGACCACGGATTGATATCAGTGAAAGAACCATTGAAAACAAGGGAGTACTGGACAGTTGTTTCATCCTAGCTTGGGAATCATCTGCAGTACGCACCCACCACCGGGGTTCGAACACAGGACCTTCCGGTTACAAGGTTAGCTAGCTCGTAGACCATTAATCCACTGGGACCCGATCCGAAGGCCAGCCCATGAATTCTAACTTCTGACAATTCACGCATGACATAGCGCGACCACTTCGCAATGTCTTCTTCGATGAGTTACTGCCTCACCTTCAACCACCTGCTGTACCCTACTGGTCACGGCTTCTCACTAGAACCCCAGGCCTGAATAGGGCCAGTCGCTAGTGAGCATCAGATGAATTTTCAAGTATTGGTTTTTGTAGGGATCTTTTAGTTTGATTGGTTGGAGGATTTCATCATGAGCTGACATCAGTTAGAAAACCACTGGAAAAAATCTGTGACTATTGGTTTGAGTCCCGTAGGAGGGTGGGGTCCTCAAAGGTTGTAGACTATGCGTAAAATGGATGAAAATCGTTCCCACTTTTCGCAGGCTCAATCACCCATTAAATCTTTATTATACTTCCACTCATACATTTTCTTATATTGCAATTTCATTGCATTTCTTTTCTGTACTGTATATATGGGCTTTTACGAAGTGTGTCTATTTGAACTGGTTCAATTTGTTCTCCTCTGAAGAATAAGTTTAGTCCAGTCTACTTTTACATTTTATTCTATTCTCATTATCAAGTTTTATTTGCTTTTTTTTTTATATTTTCTCTTCTGATACAGTTAATGAGTGAATATCAAGAATCAGAGGGTAATTTAGGCGTTGTCCTATTTAATGATGCATTGGAACACTTGAGTGCAATGCATCGGATCTTACGTTTAGATGGTGGACATGCCCTATTGATTGGTATATCAGGATCAGGTAAGAAGTGTCTGGCTAGACTAGCTGCATTCATTGCTAAAATTAAACCATTTGAAATTATCTTAAGACGTGGCTATCATGAAGGAGAATTTCGTGAAGATTTGAAAAAGTTGTATACAGCTATGTCAACAACTAAAGAGGATTATATGTTTCTTGTTTCGGAAGAACATATTCGTGATGAAGGTAAGAGGTTTTTGAATTTTTCTTTTTCTTTCCCTATCTGTTTTTCTTTATTTTTCTTGGTTCAATCAAGTATAAAATATGGTAGAAATATGAATATTTATAAATAATATTGAGGAAACTAAAAGAAGACGACATAATTTATTTAAATTGTGTAGTGTATTTGCACGGATAAACCATCCAGTTCACCGACTACACCGACCGATATTTAGGAGAATCTGATCACAGCAATTATTTAGCATAGAAATGAACGACAAGTTGAGAAAGTCAATTAAAAAAACCTTCATCACACTATTAGTTGTAATTCCTCACCTGAAAGACAAAGTACCTAGACTAGCTACCTCTTCTTGTTTCTGTCAATTCAATTACTCCTGTGGTGGTGCCAGTTATATTGGCTGTTACCTTAAGAACCTGATATCTCGTTCTCGGCAACGTTTAACTTCATCATAGATATGCTAATGGAAGTATCCTTAACTGAACTTAACGACTTAGGAATCGACTTGTTACCAGGGAATAGTCTTATGGACTTAGAATATGCAGATGACATAGTCCTGTTAGGGGAGGATGCTGACAAAATGCAGAGTCTTCTGAACACCTTGAGCAGCAATCTTCGTATGTTTTGCATGCGATTCGCCCCTGTAAAATGCAACATGCTACTACAGGACTGGACTACGTCAACTCTTAGCTTAGTGATAGGGAGTGAAGTGATAGAAAATGTTGACCACTTCACCTATTTGGGAAGTTGTATCAGCACTAACGGATTGATTGGTGACGAAATCTCAGCACGGATCCAAAAAGCTCGGGCTGCTTTCGCTAACTTACACCATCTCTGGCGTAGGCGTGACATCCGGCTATCAACCAAGGGACGTGTGTACTGCTCAGCAGTTCGCTCCGTCCTTCTCTATGGCTCTGAAACATGGCCAATACGAGTTGAAGACATGAAAAGGTTGTCTGTTTTTGATCATAGATGTCTACGATCTCTTTTTCACGTTAGGTGGCATAATAAGGTAAGTAATGTTGACGTTAGGCGTAGAGTGTTGGGCAAAGAGGGAAAATCAATCGAAGAGGCTATAAAGTTTCATAGATTGAGATGGCTAGGTCACGTGCTGCGCATGCCTAACCATCGCCTCCCTCGACGGACGGGCATTACTAGCTGATATAGGTGCAGGTTGGAAAAGAGTAAGTGGTGGTCAAACAAAAACATGGCCTCATCAATCCATGAAATCCTTGACAGTTAAACTGAGTCAGGTAGGGAGATACAGACTTCCGGGTTGGGGCCCTCGGGACTCTAAGAATCAATGGCTGGAGACAATAGGTGACATGGCTCAAAATCGTTGTCAATGGCGCAGATGTATTCAGTCTCTGTAATCTTTCATATTCCTTTCTACCATTACTCATTCTGTTTCACTCTTATACTTGTCAAAACTCTATTGATTCTCTTCACTCATTTTCCTGTCTACCTTTGTGTGCTATTTGGAACGTGGCAACTCGAACTGTTGCACTTCGATGCCAAGTTCTATGTTGAATCCAGACAGACAATCAGTTTAGCGTTATATTTATGCATCTTATTGCATACACATGTTCTGAATTGTAGTCTACTGAGCTGAATGATTCGAAATTATTTAAAAATTTATAGTGTTGTCGTTAACATTCATCCTTTTAAGGACGTATAAATGTTAAACCTGGTGAAGAAGTTATCGAAAAGAATATTCTTTGTTTAGTAATCAATCTTCTGAAATTTACAATGGGCCTCTTTAATCAAATAATGAAGCACAAAGGGCTAAGACAATGATTATTGTTATTTTAGCTGGCTGGCGTTGACTAGAAGTGAAATCCCGGATGTGTATTTCATCCTATTTAGAACTCCTCATCTGGATGTACTTCTATTCCCTGAGAGTGACGATATCTCCACTCAGACTCGTACTCTACACCTATCGTGTCAAATGCTAAAACATTATTCATTGGGGCCACATGGGTCACGAGGAGATGCATCAAACTGACGAGTCCCAAATCGGATGAAATGCGCATCCTGTTAGTCATCACCAACCAAAATAACTTCATGTTTATCCTTGGACGTCGTTAAAGCTGCATGTCAACAGAGACCGAACATTTTGGTGGAACATAATCAGTCAACGGGGAATACAAAACTTGTAACCAGTAAAATTCTTGCAAATTAACACTTTATAAGTGCAAAACTATCAAGTATTGGTTTGCAAGGATTTGATTAGTTACAGGTTTCTCATTTCCCGTTGATTAATTATGTTGGAGCCAGGATCTCCTGGATACAGGGTGAGCTCCTGGACCATTCAGCCACTGGAATTTGATTCTGCTGATTCGCAATACACATATAGTTCAACCACCAGTTAATGTCTTAGGGGAGTTACCGCTTTAATGAGAAGTCACAACCAGAGACGTCCACTAAGTCATGTAAGAGATCAGCTGGAGTACAAAATAACAATGAATATCAAAAAAATTAAATTAAAGGGGGGATTGTAGACGATTCGTTTCGGTTTTCAAAACAAAATTCATCAAGGATTGTTAAGTAAAATGACAAATTGTTTATGAACAATACAAAAAGGTGGTTTTAACTTCCTAATCGCTAAAGCTTCCACCATCCAACAGGTCCTATAGATATGTTTAAAAGATGTATTTTTAGGGGGGTGATGCAGCGCTGTTCCTTGATTGTGGAGCCCGGCAGCTTATTTTCACCACTAATCGTCTCCTATGCCTCAGTCTGCCTGTAAAGTCACTTGGGTATATGCGCTATAGCCATTAATTGTAGAAATCGATGAACTATCCTTATGCATTTAGTTATTTTGATCTCGAGTATATCTTTTTAATTTAGTCTATGATCTTTATTTCGCCGATCCCATTTGTTGGTTTATTTTCCTGTAGTATCCTTATTATCTGTCACACCACTGACTACTCTCACCCTTGAAACCTGTACATTAGTTGACTCAAATAATACACACACACACACGTCATGGAATTATTTCACCTCATTTTATCTCATGTTTTTATTGGCCATACATATTCTAAATAATAATTAACTTATTCCACAATACACTTACTGATATGATTCTAATTTACTCTTATTGACGGATCAAATAATTCCCCCTTATCTGTGATTGGCTGATTGTTTTTCTCTCTACAGTATTCTTGTTGTGTTGATTGGATGATACGAATAACTTAACGTTTTCTATCACCATGTCTCACAGCTTTCTACCTTTCACTCTCTCCCTCTGTGTGTCACTGTCAAACATAACCAGTTATTCATATGAGCTGTGATCAAGATTTGACCGGATACATTATAAATTATTTAAATTAATCCCAGCGTGTTAAGAAAATCAAAACAAGATTTTTCTGAACGTTTCGCTGTGTAAGCCACAGCTTCTTCAGCAGATTTATTCGGATTTTTATTAATTATCATCCTTACATATTTTCTATTGGTAAAAATGTTCATGGAAAAATGACGTTCAAATAAACTGACTTGAATTTATGTAAAATTTTTCGACTATATATTTTAATGATATATCTGACTCGGCGCTCAAATTATTTCAGGAAGTTCGTAACACCTACGGCCTGGAAACCTATAATAATTAACAGTTACTGTTATTATTCCACCTTGTACACCTTCTGATATGATTCTAATTGACGGATCAAATAATTCCCCCCTCATCTGTGACTGGCTGATCGTTTTTCTCTTTACAGTATTGTTGTTGTGTTGATTGGATGCGGAGGCTCTAGCAATTCATCAATGCAACCCTGAACTCTGTATACAGAAAATGTTTGTCCAGTCTCTTATTCTACCTTGGTCTTAACCTCCTCACTAATTATAATAATAGTATTTTCCATATTTCTGGTGTGAGTGATGATGAAATAAAACAGATAGAAGAAGCGTTGGTGTCAAATAACCATCCTATAAAATTCATTAGGAAGATCAGAAAAGGTCAAAAGCAAAATAAAAATAATGATAACATCAGTAAGAGAGAATATAAGGCATCGACAGTTCTACCACATAAAGAGGGGACATCTGAGACCCTGCGTAGGATTCTCGATAAAGCAGGAACTGGAGTGGCATTTAAACCTACAAACCTACTACCAATGAAGTCAAGCGATGAAATATAGTGGAATTATATGAACGAATTTAGAAAGTTGTGTGAGTAGTTCGTTGATATGATTATGATTATGAGCAGGGTAATAAATTGTGTTCGATAGGTGGTCATCAGTAAATATTACGGTATAACAACATTGTGAGACCTTATCAAAATAAATTTTCTCCATAATGGAATTATACTCCAGCACAGTGGACAAGTTCTATTCTTATATCAATTTAGAGACTTTATTGATTGATATCATGGTTTGATCTGACATCATCAAAACATGATCAAATTCCCACCTAATTCATTTGTCATTATTTAGAGAAGATAATTTGTCATACATACAACTTATCGTGATTCAGTCATATGACACATTTTTCCCCTACTTAGAATTTAAAGTTTAAGGTTTCATCACATCTAAGCCATGTTATGAAGGTGAATATTATATAGTGTACAATCCACTCACAAATCCTTACTGTCAAAGTCTGGCTAACTTGTAATGGTGTCTACTTCTTCAAAGATCTTTCCCGCGCTGAACATTAAATCAATAAATTACTTTAATTTCTAGCTTTGTAGCTTTTGTGTCCATTAGATTGTTTCTTTACATTTATTACCCCCCCCCCCTTTATGAATTTGAATAAAGCAAGAACAACAGTGGTTTTTGCAGAATAAGATGGTACCATCATTAATTTCTTGGCTTCTCATCAGCTGCTTACAGTCTGAAGATATGATTCAGTTAATGTACAGAAATAATTTTAAGATACTTGGAATTTTCACATGACATTAGTTCCCAGAGATTTCGAGTTTAAACAAAAAATCAGTGTATGCATACAATGTCAAAAGATTTACGTATTTAAGTCAAAGATTACGTTACCAGTTGCCAGGGTGAAGAAGGACTGATAA